AAAAAAAAAAAAAAAAAAAAAAAAAAAAAAAAGAAATCCTATTTTTACTGTTTTTGTGGATTCCTAGTTAGAACCAAGAATAGGGTTTTCCTCTTGGCTAAAGGGATCACATTCATAGAAATAACATACTGAATATCTTAAAGGAAGTAATAATACATGTTTCTTCTTCCTCTGCTTCCCAAGCCATTACAGGAGTCATTGCCAACAGGAGTCATTCATTCATTCATTAGCTCATTCATTTGTTCATTCATTCATTTATTAGTTTTATGAGACAAGTCTCACCTATAACCCAGGCTAGCTTAGAACTTACTATGCATCCTGAGCTAGCCTCAGACTTCCAGCAGTCCTCCTGTCTTAGCTGCCTCAGTCTGAGATTACAGGAGTGAACCTCCATACCCCACTCCAGAAGGCATGATCTAAGTGATTAAATGCTTCTTACAGAATTTGCCTAAATCACACAGGAACATAATGGATTCACGAGAAGAACCACTAAGTAGATTTCACGGTTGGAAACAAAGCATCATGGCGTGGTTGAAGGAAACTTAAGACCAGAGTGTCAGGAGTTTGTCTTTCTTGTTTGTGGATCAAAAGACAGGAAATGTCTGGTTCGGTCCATGGACTGTGATGTGGTGCTGAGTCTCTAAGAAACACAGAGACCCACAAACAAGTTCTGTGAATGAGCCTGCAGTAAGCCATTGAGCAAGTCATTTAGCTATTCTAGGCTATGTGCACTGAAAACTGAGTTTGGTTCAGCATTCTTGTTTGCCACAAAAGTGTCATCTATTCATCGTCTCTGACCACAGATTGTGGAAATGTCAGATTATTTGGCTGGCTATCTAATTGTCAATGCTATTCTGATTTTTTCCCCCTCAGATTGTTGGCATCCCGTCCCCTTCCTCCCTGTTTAAGCACATAGTCCCAATGATGCGCTCTGAGAGCATGGAGGTCACGGAGTCCCTCGTTCTTGGTCTCGGCAGGACCAGCCCGGGAGCCTTTAGGTAATTCCCTTCTTACATGCTCTGTGCTAGAGCAACGAGTGCGCCCATAAGCGAGGTAGCCATGCAGATAGATGGCAAGTCACTGTATTTGTGCCATCACTTTTTCGTCTTAAGTGAGGGAATTAAAACTTTATTTCCTCCACAGAATTGTTCTCCCAACGTCAGCATTTTTATATAAATGATCAAGTTATGGGTGGACTTTGTTTACTCTGGCTTTTAGGATTTTTTTTCCCCTCAGTTCTATGCAATGAGCTCATTTTCAATTTAAATAAAAATGTAAACCAGGTTCTATCAGATCTTCTGTTGCTGCAAATACTGGCTCAGTAAATAACTGCGTGGGTTAACTAGTTATTTTTGACTATCTCTGTAGTAACTTCAGGCTTGCCTGCTGTATAGTAGCGTGTTATCAGTCCATTAGTGGTATGCTGGGGCAAAACAAAGAAGGGAGAGCATTTTGCACATAACCATGTTTCAATACCATAAAATATATGCAGTTCACATGACAGTGGAATAAAAACACTGATGATCTTTCCTTCTGTCAGTGTAGATGCCATGCTCAGCACTTTCCAAGTGTTCAATTAAACAACTGTTTTATAATCAAAATGAAACACTAAGAACCGTTTAAAACAGTAGGCTTAGCGTTAATACTGTCACTTCCTGCTGTCTCCATAAGTATTTGCAAATGTCAGATTCTACCTATCTAGCTCTCAGTGCCAAAAGTATACCGTTTTTCTTCTAGAGAATTAATAGAGGAGTTGCATCCCATAATTAAAGAAGCACTTGAAAGAAGGCCAGAGGTAAGCTGCTATGTAGTTTCCCACCATTAAATATTTATGTGGTAAGCGTCATCCCACCGTACCTGAAATAGTATACTAAAGTAGAAATTAAGAAATGAAAGATTGGTGTGTTTTGTTGTTTGTTTGCTTGCTTTTGCTTTATAGACAGGGTCTCACAATGTAGCCCAGTGTTATCTGGAACTTACCATGTAGACCAGGCTGGCCTGAAGCGCAAGAAATCTATTTGCTTGTGCCTCCCAGGTGCTGGGATTAAAAGTGTACACCACCATACCCAGCTTTCTGGTGTATTTTAGACTTGTCTTTTCACATGCAAACTATCTCCCCTGTCCCCTATAAAACATAGGACATATAGAAACCCAGGACATAAAGCAGTCGGAAAGTCACTACAGCATAAGGGAGAGTGGGATGTAGGCTCTGCACAGAGTTGGCAGGTTTCCTGAGAGTGACCACACAGTGAGTGATTGCTGCTGTTCAGCCTCACCTCTCATTGGCAGCTGCATCAGTTGCCTTGGAAGCATGGGCACATTCATAGACTACTGTCAGCAGTCAGCTGTGGATGCTTTCCAGCGAACTTTCCTCAACAGGCTACGGCGGCCCCATCCAACAGTCTGCAGAGCTGAAACACTAAGAAACAGTAGGGCTTTAGAAAAAGGGGTATGGAGTCTGTAATTACATCAGTCTGGCGTGGCACATGGATATGAGTTTGTGGAAATTCATAGGAGAATGCCTCAGGACTCTGGCTGCATTGTCAAGAAGACCCAGTGCCAGAGCTGATCTTGGGAACATTTTTCCCAGTGGACAAAGACATCTTAGGCAGAAAAACAACATTTAACCATATTATAAAAGAATCTGAAAATTGCTTCTTTTCCTGTACAACTTTAGATAGATAGATGATAGATAGATAGATAGATAGATAGATAGATAGATAGATAGATAGATAGATAGTGTAAGGGAATGTAGTTACTAGGCTAGCTGGCTCCGTGTGGAGTATCTCATGAAAGTGGCTTGGTTTTCAGTCTGTCCTGTAGTCCAGTGGCTCCTGCCTGATAGTGACATCTGAGAATTATGCAAGGATCTTGCTAAAACTTAGGCCTGTCTGTGAGAATCCCTGGGGCAGCATTTAACATCTGTTTCTGTGAAGCATCTTACATGCATCGGCTGTAGAGCCCTGTAGAGAAATCTCTGCTTTGAATGTTGGGGTGGTGAGGTCCCCTGAAAAACTGAGCGAGAGTTGGTGAGAGCTACTGTCCCGTAAAGAGAACTTTGAAGCCACACCATTGCTCCTTCCTGTCTTTGCTTCCACGACGTAGGTTACAGGTTTGGTTACAGAGTGTGGTGATGTCTTTGAATGCCAGTTTCGATTTGAGAGTCCACAGCCCACTGTCGCTTCCTATGGAGATAAATGGAGGGGTACAGTCAGAACCCCGCAGACACCCTTGAGGACCGATAGGAAGCTGTTTAATTCAGAATGAGTTTCTGTAAAGTTTAGAAAGACCCCAAGGAAGCAGTAAGCATAGCGAGTCAGCAAATGAGCCTGCTTCCTGGAGGGCAGGAGGGTGAACGGGTGTGTGGAAGTGAAAGATGAAGAAGTATGTTTGCCTGCTCTGGATTAGGAAAAGCACTTTGTAAATGAGACGAGGTGGATTAGAAAGTGACACGGGAGGTCGCTCCCTGCTCCTGTCTGACTGGGGATCAGTCCCCCAGTGAAGTGATTTAGTTGGTGTGTTAGCCAGTGCTCCCCTTGCCTGTTCACCCCACAGTGGGTGACGCTTTCCTCTGCTTCTATTTGTACTTTCTCCTGCAAAACTTAATTAAGTGTGATACAGGTTTGAGCAAAACCTTGGGGTTTTTTTTATCGGTTAGGATTGTTTTCTGTGCCCCGTTTTCTGAGTCTTAGAGATTCCCCATGACTCAGACTTTACTAATTCCATCTTCTGAAATCAGCAGGTTGACCAGTCACCAAAGAGTAACTAACTGTAGGGTTTTATTTCTGCCACACATCGGAGGACTCAGCTTATAAAGTGCCACGTGGTTTGGTCTGTCTCGTTAGTGTCACATCATCCACAGACCAGTCCCTTTGAGACCAGAGCCAACAGCAGCCTCAGCATCCACAGGGCACAGTGTGTGGAACGGTCAGGAGCCACGCCGCTCCCTGGCATTCACACTGTTGACTTTCCAGGTCACATCAGCAGTTTCCTGTGAATTTACTGGAGTGTTTTCCTAACTCAAGTCTTTGTATGTTTGGAACAGAATATGAAACGGCGCAGGCGTCGAGACATTCTACGAGTACAACTGGTACGGATATTTGAACTGTTGGCGGATGCTGGTGTCATTAGCCACAGGTTGGTGTGGGGTTCTGACTTTCAAACCTTGGGATGATTAGAGACTGTGTTTTCTCCTTGAAATATGTGAAAACAGAAAAGCACCATTGTAACAAAAATGCTCACCTAATACACATGTCAACATCTGTGAATATTATTTACCAATTAAAGAGGTATCCAGTACATTAACTAATAGCCTGAAATTATGTACCACCAGAAGCAGAGGCAGGATTGTCTTGAATTTGAGACTAGCCTGAGCTACAGACTCACAATGACAATAATAATAATAATAATAATAATAATAACAACAATAACAATAATAGAAAATTAGCAATCAGCACTTGTTTGGTCAAAAATTAGCTCTAATGTGCCCATGCCTTTGATATTTGGTTGGAACCTTGATTTCCAGGAAAAGGCAATAATGGTGGTCTTTTTTCTTGACACATTTATAATTTCTTGGCCCATTTTGCCAATAAATAACCTTCTGGGCTTGAGGAAAACTCACATGTTCAAAGGCTAACTATTAACAATGTTTGCAAATTTATTCTGAGGAACTGTTGTTGATCCTGCTGGGGAAATTATGAACTTTACATATGCAGCTCACAGCTGTTCCCCCACCCTTCACGAACCATAAATCCTGGAGTTATTCTTGACAGTAGGACCAAGACCCTTGAGGAAAATACCATTGTCTGAGTTGAAAGTGAACAGTCTCCTTAGGAGGGTAATGGTGTCACCTCACCTCTGAGGCAAACGTAACGGATCTAACCCTGTGCACCAAAGGAATCTGGAGAGAAGTCTTAAGGAAGGACTAGGTCGGGAGTTTACCAAGCATAGTAGCAGTGTATGTAGGCATTTGTCCTGGTTGTTTCTGAACGTGCCTGGCACCCTTCCGATCTAGCATTAGAAGCTTGTGACAGACTCTCAAAATAGAGGCTCTGTGGAAGAGAGTTTTAAAGGCAGAGAGTCACTTTACTTTCATGTCGAATGGGAAGGCAAAAGAGAACATATGATTAAAGGCCGTCCAGTTGAAATTATGAGAAATAAAATTGAGATTTGTGGACTTAATGATAAAGCAAGAGTGTACATGACGTGAGCTGTTTTGATTCTTTTTTTGTTTTCTAAGAGAAAATCAGTCGAAGGTTGTCACTGCTGTGGATCGTATCCTCCACCCCCCAGGATTAGGGATTGGGGACATTTTGAACGCCAGGGAGATGGGAAGCTTATGTATCTGCTGTGTACAGAAGCCACTCATTAGATATTCAAGAGAATGGATCTTCTTGTCTAGTGTAGGTTACAGCCCACTAATTAGTCATGATTTGAAGATAAACAATATTGTCTCACAGAAGTCGGAATCTGGGTCATCCCTTAACTCAGCATACTTATTCTTACAGATGGATATTTTCAATATAGCGCTTCAAACATCTTACCATTGTTTTTGCATGATCAGGATCTTTTTTTTTCCAATGATACAACTAGTAAAGAAATTTTTTTTTTACTTTAAAAATATTATGTAGAAGTAAGTACTCTCCCAATAAAATGAGAGTTGACCTCGGTAAATAGAAATGAAGATCCTTTGATTTATATATATATCAGACACTTGTTGTTCATAGGGTCGTGTTAGGCCTAGCAACTAATGTAGCCTCTCACTGAAGCATACTGTTACCGTCCTGAGCTGATGGGACAAGACAGGAGTCCAGACTTCCGACTCTTAGTAGCTCATGATGCCAGGGTATACATCTCTCGCCTCATTAGGAATCCCAGAGCGGGCTTAGCGCAGCTCCAGGGGTCTAAAGCAGTCTGAGGTCCGGCGCTGTGCCCTTGAATTCTCTTTACTAACACTTGTCCTCTCAGAGGGCCGGGGATACGCACCTGGTGGATAAGCAGCTGTGTAAAGGTGTGTTAGCTAGGAAGAGCATCGGAGACAGGAAACTTACTGGAACTGGCCTTCCATTCTACACCAATACATTCCCCACCCCCCACACTCCCCCAAAGGCCTCCCACCTTCTTATCTTACTTGTGAATGGAGAGGCAGTAATACTTAGTTTTTGTAAAAGTTAGGTATGACATCGGACTGAGCACGGGGACCCCAATGGAGAAGTTAGGGAAAGGATTACAGTAGCTGGAGGGGTTTGCATCCCCATAGGAAGAACAACAGTATCAACCAGATGCCCCAATGCCCCCAGGGACTAAACCACTAACTAAAGAGTACACATAGGGGAACCCATGGCCCCAGCTGGATATGTAGCAGAGGATGGCCTTGTTGGGCATCACTGGGAGGGGAGCCCTTTGGACCTGTGGAGGTTAGATGTTCCAGCATAGGGAAATGCTAGGGTGCTGAGGCGGGAATGGGTGTGCAGGTAGGGGAGCGCCCTCATAGAGGCAGGGGGAGGGAGGAGGGGATAGAGGACTTGCGGAGGGGAGACCGGGAATGGGGATAACATTTGAAATGTAAGAAATAAAATAAAATTTTAAAAAGTTAGGTATGAAATTGGACAATATAAATTGCAGTTGCTTGAAGAAGTACCACCTACTCTTTATAAGTAAGGAAGTCAAAAATCACGTTCCTTTCATTGTTCTGTCTCTAAAGTGTCATTCTGCCACAAGCACACCAAGTTTGCTTTGTGTCCTTCTGACGGTGGTCATTTCAGTTGGAACTGAGAGTCACGCCTTCTCTCTGGTTTGTTTTTTCCATTCTTCTCAGTGCAAGTGGCGGCCTTGATAATGAAACTCACTTCCTCAACAACACTCTCTTGGAGTATGTGGATTTAACGCGACAACTTCTGGAAGCAGAAAACGAAAAGGACTCTGACACACTGAAGGATATCCGATGCCATTTTAGTGCCTTAGTGGCGAATATCATTCAGAATGTTCCGGGTAGGGTCTTCAGTTTCTCGGAGCTTTCTGAAATGTGAAGAGGCAGCCTGTGCTTTCCTCCCCTCTGAGGTTTTGTGTTTTAAGGAAGTAACTTGTAGGCTGGAGATGATGGTTCAGTGGGGAAAGGCACTTCCTGCCCAGACTGACAACCCGAGTCTTACCCTGGGACCCACACTGGTCTGCAAGTCGCCTGTGACCACCACACCAGCTCTGAGGCATGTTCATATATGTATGCACATGCATGCATGCACACACACATGCACACGCGCACACACATACAAATAAATGTAACATTTTTAAAAGCATCTAACTTATGAGCATCCTAGGAAACTAGATCAATACAATATTGATGACAAGTGATTTTTTTTTCTTTCAACCTCAAAATTAGTGTCAGTAACTGGGAATCAAGAAGTGATCAACCCAGTAGGGATTTTGACTGATCATCTCCTTAGACAAGTTTGTGGTAGATACAGTAAGCCAGGAGTGTAACGCTCGAATTGATAGCTGCAAATAAAGTCGTGCCTTCAGACTGAAGGCAGAGCAGAAATGACAGTATAAATCAAAGCAAGCGGACAGCACTGCCGATGGGCTCACTTAACAGACGTGTGCCTGTTTGTGAGCAGGCGCTGAGAAATGTGCTCTGATTGCTCTATACACCTGTGCTTTTAAAAGTCATAAAAGATTTGCTGTAAGCCTTTTGTGTGTGCAGGATAAGTTTCTTTTCCCTCTCTCCAAATATAGCCATTTTGTTATTTTAAGTCATACGCACTAACCTTTGGCTTTCAAACATATGGTTTGTATTTTTAACAGGGTCCTTTAAGTACATAGTTTGGCTTGTTAATTTTAAGGACAGGAGCCTGACTTCGTTCTTTGAAAGGAAAATAATATTACTTGAGGGTTAAGAGCGTGTTTTTTTCCTCTGTATTTTCTGTGTGGAAAGTGGCGAGGGTAAAAATGGCTTTAGTTTAGTTACTATACACTTTTTCCCCACAGCTTCCGTTATATTGATTCCTTGAGATATTATTGAATTTCTTAACACATGTTAACTCGGGGAATATGCAGAGTAAGTGTGCTGGCTACTTTTATGTCAACTTGACACAGGCTAGAGCCATCTGAGAAGATCGAGCCTTAATTGGGAAATGCCTCAAAAGACCTGTCTGTAGAGCATTTTCTTAATTAGTGATTGAGGGGGGAGGGCCCAGCCCTTTGTGGGTGCTCCTGTCCCTGAGCTGCTGGGTTCTATAGGAAAGTAGGCCGAGGAAGCCATGGTGAGCTGTTCTATGGAAATGCATGCAGCAGATAACCCTTTCCTCCCCAAGTTGCCTCTGTTAATTGGTGTTTCCTTACAGCAGCAGTAACCATAACTAAGGCAGTAGGGTGGGGCTTAAAAGGAGGAAGTTCCCCTTCACTAGTAGGTTCCAAACTGAACCATCATTTCCCAGAGCCCTGCAGGGTTCTAGCACCGTAGAGGTGCACATAGACAGCGGTCGGCACAGACACGTGTGACTTGGAGTAGATCTGTATCAAAATGTATGATGTGTGGCTCCTTTTACAAAAGCAACTTTTTTACTGGGGAAAAAAATTACAAAATTTGAAACAGCGCTCTGCTAGTCAAAAGCCCTCGTTTAGCAATGAATCCAGCCCCTGTGGTAATGTCTTCATAGAGCTCGTCAGGCAGCCAGGAAGAGGCGGGTCCTGACCTGAGCACCCTCCTAGACTTCTTGCAGCACCCTGCCTGGAGGTTTTAGGCGTATTCAGATGCAACTTCCTCTTTCTGTCCTGTGGCCTTCCGGTTTTTAGTAGCAGACAAGTTGCCGTGCACATCAGAATGAAAGGAACCAGAAGTAACTGTCTACCTGTGCTCATATTTACAGTGCACCAGAGAAGAAGTATCTTTCCTCAACAAAGCCTTCGTCACAGTCTGTTCATGCTGTTCAGCCACTGGGCGGGGCCCTTCAGCATCATGTTTACGCCCTTGGACAGATACAGTGATAGGAATATGCAAATCAACCGGCATCAGTACTGTGCACTAAAGGTATCACCTTCGATCCCTCGTTCCCTTCTTACTATGCTAAGAGTTTCTTTCTGCCTCTCACTATGTGATACGGTGTACAGAAAAGGATTTCTTCAGAGCACCGAGTGTTAGGGTATAAGTTTGTCTGGTACACAGATAGTTTTGTTTAGGCACCTTATATACAATGCAAAGGAGTTCCAAAAATCTCGGAAGATTTTTATTGTTGTATTCTTAAAGAATTAAGTATTCCCACTAAGATACCTATTTTGTTCATAATTAAGCATTCTTTCTGTTGGTCTTCTTGTCTTTAAAGTGCATAGTTAATTTGGTGTGATGATAAATTGCTTGACTTTTAAAAGTAACTGCTAGGCTAGAGGTATAGCTTACTAGCAGAATGCTTGCCTGTCATGTATATAAGCCCTAGGTTTTATACCCAAAATCACACACACAAAAAAAGAGACCACTATTATATATCTATATACTGTTACATATTTATATTTCACATAATACTTTCATATTACGGCGAGATACACATGAGTGAAAATGCCTTGCCTCTTCGCATTAAGCGGAGACCTTTGACCTCTTAAGTGTTTTAAATGTAATTCTGATATTATCATTTGAAGGCTATGTCTGCTGTACTGTGTTGTGGCCCTGTTGCAGATAATGTGGGACTGTCATCAGATGGCTATTTGTACAAATGGCTGGATAACATTTTGGACTCTCTGGATAAAAAGGTAATCTTAACTGTCCCTTTGATGGTTTATAATAAATTACCATTGCACTGTGGTAACTTGTGGATCTCTGAAATAAGTCTTCCTTAAAATAGGATAGAATTATGTGTATAAAAAAAAAAACCCCTAAGGGTGGTGGAGATGGCTCAGTGATTGAAGTACCCAACTTCAGATCCCTAGCACCTGGGTCAGTGCCAAGCTGCTGTGTAATCCCAAATGCTCAGAAAACATCTGGGCTGGCTAGCTGGACTCATTACTGGTGAGCTCTGGGCGCAGTTGAGAGACCGTACCTCAACTGAATATGCTTATGCATAGCCATAGACTTTTCTCCCTGCACCCGAGTTTCCGAGCAGCAGTGTGGAAGCTTATTATTATTAACAGTGCTTATGGCCTCAAGCTGGGGCTTGTTCCCACTAGCTGTAATTTATTTAACCCATTTAAACTAGTCTGTGTCCGCCACATGGCTGGTTAATTACCTCCTCTCTGTTTCACACCTAAGACTTCCTCAGAGCCCAGGTGGCAAACCTTCCCGCACCTGACTAGTTACCAGAGTTCCAGTCTCTCTAGCAGAACCGCCAACTCCTGTCTTCCTGCCTTTTGCTAATGGGCCATCAGATTTTCATTGACCGATGAGGCTTCCACGCAGTACACAAGAGATTGTCCATAGACGTATGACATGAAATTAAATAGGATCTATCATCTAAGGAAGTTGGAATTGTTATTACTCACGTGAATAGCTTCATTTACCCTTACATAGGGCAGGATTAATATGGTGCTGTGTGTATTTTGTAATAGGATTCAGTCTAAATAACGATTATAAAGTAGAGGGCACTGTTTGACCTCCCTGCCCTCCCTCTCCCTCACCCCGCGCCTGCGCTGTTACACCGTGTACACAGTATAAATCGTGACTTACCTTCCCTCCACAACGAAGTTATTTCAAATCCTAAGACCCGATAAGAGTCATTGAGGGGGCGCCATTCACTTGTCTGAAAGCACATAAGTACTGTTCACATTCATCAGCTGCCTTCGGGCTCTCTCTGTTGGAAGAGAGAAATTCAAAAAGGCTTGCAGGAAAAAAAAAAAAATACATCTCCCATTCTTCACCCCCCACCCCACCCTTGTTGCGAGTAGACTGGGAATTGGCTGAACAAAAGGAGACTGATGGTGGGTTTTGTGGTGGTCTGCAGTGACGATAATGCTCTATCAGACGCCCTGCCCTCTGACCCCTCCTGGTGTTCTCGCCCTCCCCCAGGTTCACCAGTTGGGCTGTGAAGCAGTCACCTTGCTGCTGGAGCTGAACCCTGATCAGAGCAGCCTGATGTACTGGGCTGTGGACCGATGCTACACTGGCTCCCGGCGGGTAGCAGCCGGCTGCTTCAGAGCCATCGCCAACGTGTTCCAGAACAGGTATCCAGTCCACACGCTGCTGCTCAGAGTCCACTCGCAGTTTGTCTGTTTTCAAGAAACATTCTTTCAGAAATACTAAGAAACCTGTCTCTTTCTTTCCTTGAGTGCTAATGACATTTTGCCAGTAAAGGATAATGATCCCCCTGTAGTTTTAACAACAGGGCCGTCACCTGTAGTCTTCGAAGCTGTTCTCAGACTTGCCCTTTGTCTGCCGTGTCCATTAGCTGGTGTGAACACTTCCAAACCTCGCCCTTCCTAACCTGTGACGTTTGTCCTCAGGGATTATCAGTGCGACACCGTGATGCTCCTAAATCTGATACTGTTTAAAGCAGCTGACTCTTCTAGAAGTATCTATGAAGTTGCTATGCAACTCTTACAGGTTCGTGTACAAACGATGATTAAAATCTCACATTCCTCGGGGTTTGACGAAATGATGTTTGTACCATTAAAGCATAGTAATATTGATAGTAGGGTACCAAGTTCTGACTGTCAGTGAAAATACAATCCAAAGACAGTATAGCTATTTAAATCTTTAAATAATACAAACTCTTCATAACTGCCCTACAGAGGATTATATCAGTACATGTGACTGTATTTTGATATTTATAAGGACTCACTAATTAGGGCTGATGTATGGGAGAGATAATTTCTCTTTGACAGATGAGAACAGAGTGGTTTGGGGATTTTTTGTTTTGAGTTAATTGTTCTCATAATCTCGTATCAACGCTCTATGATATCCCTACAACTTTCCTTAGATTATCATTATTATCCAGGGTTTAATTGATAGTAAGGCAAGAAGCACTGTTGGTTTTGTTTTTTAGCGAGGCCTTAGAGTGGGATTCGAGTGGATGCTGATGTTTCTAAGGGCTCTAGAGTAGCACATATGCAGCAAGTCCAACTAAAGGATTACACCCGACTCTGCCCTCTTTTGTAATGAAGAGAATTAGCAAGCATTCGTTCTTCGTGTACTGTGAGTCAAGGAGAGTGTCCAGTGGTTAGCTTGAGTCGTTTTCACAGGCTTCTCCCACTTGCACATATTTTGTGCAGTTATATTTTTAGCTAGGAAGGTGATTAACTTTTTCAAGTCATTGCACAGTAAGTTACTAAACCTCCATCAGACTGTACCAGGAACCCACCTCGTTGGTGTTAGATACAGGGAATGGAAATCCTTCCATGTGGTAGTCATCTTCTACAGACATTTCAAGCACTAGAAATTAACATAGTAACGTAATGACTATATAGATTTTTAAACTGGAATACTGTATAGGGGAGTTTCTTGTTTTTTTTTAAATTAGAGCTGAACCTTAGAGGATCATAAAATAAAATAAAAATAACTGAAGTTGATGAAATTGCCTTCCTGTAGATCCTGGAACCGAAGATGTTTCGCTATGCTCACAAACTGGAGGTTCAGAGAACGGATGGAGTCCTCAGCCAGCTGTCCCCGCTGCCACATCTGTATTCCGTTTCTTATTACCAGTTGTCTGAGGAACTAGCCAGGGCATATCCAGAGCTCACTCTTGCCATATTCTCAGGTTGCTCAATGAAATGATTTCTGTTTCTCTTGCAGTCAGCTCTAACATAGTGTGTGTGTGTGTGTGTGTGTGTGCGTGTGTGTGTGTGTGTGCATACAAATGTGTGCTTGAACATTACATGCATGAGGAAGCCTTAGATTGATATTGAGTCTTTTCCTCAGTCACCATATTTATTTAGATAGGGCTTCACTGATTTCACTAGACAGGGTAGCCCCTTGTCGCTACCTCCTCAACTTCAGGACTAAAGATGGTGCAACTTTGGCCAACTCCTTACCTGTGTTTGAGATCCACACTTGCACCCTGATGTTTGCATGGCAGGCATTTTACTGACCGAGCTTCCTTCAGGCTCTAAAAGATGATTCTTAGAAAATTCAAAGCAACAGAGAAGTGAGGTTGTATCAAGGCGTGTCTGACGGAGAAGGGTTTTCTTTAGTAAGGGCTCATACTCATCTGTCTTGCTTTTCTTTAGTAAGGGCTCACACTCATCTGTCTTGCTTTTCTTTAGTAATGGCTCACACTCATCTGTCTTGCTTTTCTTTAGTAAGGGCTCACACTCATCTGTCTTGCTTTTCTTTAGTAAGGGCTCATACTCATCTGCCTTGCCTTTCTTTAGTAAGGGCTCACACTCATCTGTCTTGCTTTTAAATCTTCCAATGGCATGGTCTTGCTTTTGAGAAGAAAGAAAAAGAACATCATGTACATTTAGGGGTTTCGGTTTTGTCTTGTTTTAAACACAGTAAACCTTGAATGTTGTCAGCTCCCTGGCTCCTCCATCACAGTCGGCCTGGCACTTATCCACAGTGCCTTTTTGGGTACTCAGTCACACACACCATCCACAGTCAAATCCACTGTGCACTGGTTTGTGTTCTCAGCCCTCTCCACAGGAGGCCTTTACCTCAGATTTCTGTCTGAAGTTCAGCATACTCCTTCTGGCTCTAGCTGTTCTCTGACTTCAAGTCTTCAGGCCCTTGGCTGTTCACAGCTGTGGATGTTAGCTGTCCTCCATGGCTTTCCATTCTACTCTGTCTTGGTTTCCAGGCCCTTACTATTTCCTGGCTTTCCTCTTCCCTCCATGGGTTACTTCTTTTCTGTCACCCTCTGTTCGTGTTGATGTTCCGACGCTTTAACCCAGGATGACTTCGTCTCCCTGAAGGAGCCAGATCCCGGCGTGGCCCCAGTTCCCACACACTTGAGTTAGAATCTCGTCATTCAATTTCTTTCAAAGTGTCAGAGTTTGCCTTTTATGCCAAAACTGTACAGTTTGTATGTGAACTACACAGATAACTCCATATTTGCCTTTGTCTTGAGACTTTATTCGTACTGTCACCTCGCTCGTTTCAGAGGCGCAGTTCAGTAGTGTTAAGTGTAAAATAGATCTCTAGAACCCTTTGATCTTGCAGAATTGAGACCAGCCCTTAAATAGCATTCCCCCATTTTCCTGCCCTTTGTCCCCTCTGCCATCTACCTTGTGTTTTATTTGACGGCTGTGGATAAGCAGAATCGTATGGTATTTTATGTATGTGGCTAGGTTATTTTGCTCAGCACAGTGTCTTCTGGATTCCTACGTGTAGTGTGGCTTTTTGCATTTTTTCCGGCTGTATAGTATTCTAGAGTCTATGCATCACAGTTTGCTGTCCCATTCTTTTCACCCGTCAGCCATGTCTGTTGCTTCTATGTTGTGATGAATACAGATGTGCGAGTATTGCTCTGAGTCTCTGTTTTGAATTGTTTTAGATACACACTCAATAGCTGGATCAGTTGGATGGTAGAGTAATTCTCTAACTTTTTAAGGAGCCACCATGCTTATTTCCATACAAGTATTCACCATCTTATAATCTTACCGAGAGCCTGGAAACATTTATCTAACTGCTAACTGCATTTTGTGTGTGTGTGTGTGTGTGTGTGTGTGTGTGTGTGTGTGTAAACAAGCTAAGCATGACTGGTTGGGGTGGCACACATCTACATTCCCAGCACTTGGGAAAGTGAAGTTCAAAACCAGCCTGAGCTACATAGAGAGTAACTGTGTGAAAAGATAAAAGAAAGGGAAACTTTGTGTTAGCTGGACTTTTATCATCGGGAAGTGATTGACATGTCTTCCTGTTGGCCCAAAAGCACTCGGGATGATGTTGGGTCTCCCCTTTGATATGCCTTGAACCAGAGATCAGCCAGCGGATCCAGACGGCTCACCCCGCGGGGCGGCAGGCCATGCTTCATTATCTACTGCCCTGGATGAACAACATCGAGCTGGTGGATCTCAAACCTCTGCCCTCAGGGAGGCGGCAGGATGAAGATGAAGACGACTCCCTGAAAGACAGAGAGCTCATGGTGACCAGCAGGCGCTGGCTAAGAGGAGAAGGCTGGGGGTCCCCACAGGCCACTGCCATGGTGTTGAACAATCTCATGTACATGACAGCAAAGGTATTGGGGTTTGTGTTCATCATGACTGCATAGTTCGGGGGTTGGGAAGAGGAACTACGGTTAGAAACTGATGCTGAGACTGTCCTGGGACAGACAAGACCTACAGTATAAACTCCATTCTTCCTTTAATTCAAGCCAGAGATGGCAGGTGATGCTACTGCTTAAATTCCCTGGGGGATGGGGGATGATGGGGGGGGGATGGGGAGGATCACAACAGTCATCCCTCTAATGTTTGGAAGAGATGAAACTTTCTGTAGCAGTTATTTGTTTCCTAGCGCTTCACGGAATGACGAGTTTGGTTTTTACTAAGCAGGCGTCCCTGAAATGTCTCTCATATGTGCTGTTTTCAGTACGGCGATGAGCTGGCCTGGTCGGAGGTAGAGAACGTGTGGACCACCCTTGCAGACGGCTGGCCAAAGAACCTGAAAATTATCTTGCACTTTTTGATCAGCATCTGCGGGGTGAATAGTGAACCAAGCCTCTTGCCTTACGTATGTATTCACGTGTGTCTGCCCCCCACCCCCTTTAAGTGTACACATTTACCGAGTTACCTGTCAGGGTATGGATTGATTGCCCCACAGAGGCAACTGAGAATGGGGTGAGGACAGCCAGGAACTTTGTGTGGACTTAGCCATTGATTCCTTCTCTGACTGCCATTGTGTGCTGTCCCAGGTACTCTGCACGTAGGGGCGGTCCACTTCAAGGGTAACCCAGGATTTATTCTCTGAAATGACACCAGAGTGATCACCAGCTTAATATGTGAAGCTGTGATAAGGGCTACAAAGGAAGGCTATGCTGAGAAGAATCACCCGAGAAACCCCAGATAAGAGGAGGTGGTGGTGATGTAGAGTCTACCAACTGAGGTGTCCCTAGGCTGTGGCTGGCATTTGGATAAGAGAGCTCAGGGCCAGTATCTTCTGGAAGGGAGGGAAAGTTTGGGAGACAGATGGAAAAGGAAGGGACATATGATGCCCTTTCCTGCCATTAAATCCATTAAATTAATTTAATTAAGTTAAATCCGTTTACTCCAGTTGAGACTGGAGAGATGGCTCAGTGGTGAAGAGCACATTTGCTCTTCGAAAGGCCCCAGGTTCAGTTCCCAACATCCACACGGTGGCTCACAACTGTCTGTAACTCCACTTCCAGGGAGTATTGTAATGTGCTCTTGCCTCTGCAGCACTGGGCACACACACAGTACACAGGCATGCTTGCAGGCAGCACACCCAATACATGGGAAGTGAAAAATAAAATCGATGTGAAAAAATTATCCATCCACGTTAATGGAACGGTAGAGAAGCGAGGGCCGAGGCGCATGTCCAGATGTGCACACAGCATGTGCAGCTCCCCAAAGCGTGCCCTGCAGAAAGCCAGATCTTCAGGAGGTTGTCATGGAAGTTCTTACAGACCTTCCCATAAACAGACTGTGGGGGTGGCGTAGGCAACAAAAGTGATAAACAGATGGACAGATGGATGGACAGCAAACTCTGGCCCAGGAGCCACTCTGGCTCTTCCTTGCTGTTAAAGCATAAAGCCACTGTTAGGCTCAGTGGTGGGGGTGGGGGAGTGAGAGTGAAAGATAGATGTTTGGCATGAGGGCTGGATGAGTAGCAATCATAGGACACCCCTACCCTGTCGGCAGCCCAAAGCTTTCTCCATTAACCAAAAAGCTTTTACAGAAAGCTCCTCTCCCCTTCCCTGCCATTCTCCTGTCAAAGACCTTAACTTTAATTTTTTTTTTTTAAATATGTCTCAATGGGGACTAGAGAGATGCTTCAGCCACTAAGAGCACTTGTTCTTGCCAAGGACCAGGTTCAATTCCCAGCACCTACACGTAGCACCCCACCAACCCTAACTCCAATTCCAAGGGACCCGATGTGCTCTTCTGGCCTTCTCGTGGTGCACTGCATGAATGTGATGCACATAGGTCAACCAAGGCATGCACACACACATGAAAACAACCAAATCTTTAAAACATCCGCCTCTGCAGCCGAAGCCATGAGAGTAAAAGCTCCCTTCTCTTCTCCCGAACACTCTCGTGCAGGTGAAGAAAGTCATTGTTTATCTGGGTCGAGACAAAACCATGCAGCTGCTGGAAGAGCTGGTGAGCGAGCTGCAGCTCACAGACCCCGTCAGCTCGGGCGTCACGCACATGGATAACCCACCCTACTACCGCATCACTTCCAGCTGCAAAATCCCTTCAGTCACCTCAGGTGAGCCCCGCCCACCGCTCCGATGGGAAGTGACGCTCCGCCCACCGCTCCGATGGGAAACGACACTCCGCCCACATGTTCTTATTCACCGGGGTTCCCGTCTTTAAATCCCGTTACCAATGAAGCAAAATCAGATAGTGGGCATGTATGGTGATTGATCTGAAACTCGGTAAATCTTCTACAAGCAAAGAAATTGAACAATGTCATGATTTTTACTATTTCAGAGAAGAATGGTGGTTTTGTACTTTTTCAGGGACGGGGTATAAGTTCCTAAACAGTGAATTTTTTTTTTTATTCTGTTCTTTGTTTTGTTGGATATGTTTTTAATGAATAGGGTCACCTTATTTAATTCAGAAAAATGCTAACTTGCTGGAATTACTCATGAGACCCCGTGCTGTAATTATTCAGATCTGTGAATGCAGGTACCACTGGCTATGAATAGACATAGTCTGGTGTTTTTATGAAGTGTAGAATGATGCAGTGGTTTGTGAACGATTCAGTGGGGAGTCATCGAGGCAAGCTGGCATACCTTCAAGCACTCAGCAGTGATTTGCGTGGAAGCAGTTGCACTCTGTGTGGATAACTCCCAGGGACGAGTAACAGTGCGTCAGAAGAGCTAGGCCAGTGGGTCTTACCCTTCCTGATGCCACGACCCTTTAGCACAGTTCCCAATGTGCTAGCAACGCCCCCAGCCACAAAATTACTTTTGTTGCTACCACATAACTGTAATTTTGCTACTGTTACGAATCATGTGGTAAACAGCTGACAGGCAACTCTGTGGGGGATGTGCCCCACAGGTTGAGAACCACTGGTCTAGACTGTTGTTGGCGAGGATTCTGTAAAATTTGGTCGCCCAGTGTATATTACATGTTCTCATTCCGTCAACACCAACTGCATCATTGGAAGTATTTTCATTGCTGTCTTTTATAATTTTATTTTTCTTTGTAAATTCTTTTGGCTTTTACCGTTTGGTCCAACTTTCCACTGAAACTATCTCTCCACATCTAGCTCTCTCACATATGCAAGCAAGTGCTTCATCCCAGGATGCTTGCTGGGTTTTGTAACATTCCACTAGTCACATTTCATGGTTGAACTTCATTTTCCTGTATCTGATAACTTATGAAGTCCCTGTGTGCTTTCTACGGCTGCACGTTCTGACTTTGTGCTAAGACCGTCCTCGGAGCCTTGTGTCTAGGTCTGCCTTTAGAGGAGTGCAGTGTCTGGTGTTTTGTAAGCTCTGTGAGCAGAGAAGAGCACTGTCAGCGTGCTTTGCTGGGTGGCAGTCTCCCTGAAGTCTGTCTCAGTGTGTGAAGCCTTGAATGGGTCAGACCTCCCAGAAAGAATTCTGTTGATCAGCTCTCAAGGGAAAGAATATGGACATCTGTGGGTTGTCTGTATCCACACATAGTCTCCTGGAGCCTAACAGGCCAGTGACTACAAAGGCCGCAGGGCAGGGGGTGCCGTTCTCAAACTTAGAATGAGCAGTCTCTTTTCTCCTCACTGTCATCCAGAAGTTGTCCTTTCTTAGCTCTGTTTGGTGTGTCCTAGGCAAGAAGTATTTTCATATACTCTCAGGAGGGAAGACTTCTGCTGGTGGTGGGAAGATAACAGCCACCAGCTACAAATGTGCTGGAGTTATGTTCTGGAGAATGACTACTTTTAAAATAGATTTCTCAGACAGTTCTGGTTTTGCACTGTTTGTGTGGAAGCCCCTTCATTTCTCCCATTACCTGTCTAAATAGCAGTTATTTCTTACCCACTTATTTGCTTTTTTGTATTGCATTTCTAAATGTATCGCATAGTAGGGACACTTGCATGCCATCCTGTGCATGCAAAGATCAGAAGACACCTTACAGGAATCGGTTCTCTGCTTCCACGTAATGTAGGTCTCTGGAGTCAAACTCAGGTCCTCAGGCTTGGTAGCAAGTGCTTCCCCCCACTGAGCCGTGCTCTCCACACCCACCATGTCTTAGTTAGGGTTTCCATTGCTGTGAGGAGACACCATAACCAAGGCAACTCTTATAAAGGACAATTTTTAACTGGGGTGGACTTACAGGTTCAGAGGTTCAGCCCATTATTATCATGACTAGAAGCATGGCAGCGGGCAGGCAGACATGGTGCTGGAGGAGCCCAGAGTTCATCATGGTATTAAGACAGCCAGGAGAAGACTGTCTTCTACAAGTAGCCGGGGGTGGGGGTGGGGGGTGGGAATCTCTTCCATACTGGGCAGAGCTGGAGCACTAGGAGCCCTCAAAGCCCACCTACAAGGTGACACACTTCTACCAACAAGACTTCCTATTCCAACAAAGCCACTCCTCCTAACAGTGCCACTTCCCATGGCCAAGCATATTCAAACCATCCCCTTTTATTTTCTCAGAGTCAAAAATTTGGCAGTCGCGGGGCTGGAGAGATGGCTCAGCAGTTCAGAGCACTGACTGCTTTTCCAGAGGACCCAGATTCGATTCCCAGCACCCACATGGCAGTTCACAACTGTCTATAACTTCAGTTTCAAGGAATCTGACACCCTCACACTGACATACACACCAGCAAAACACCAATACACATAAAGAAAGAATAGATCATTAGACAATTATTTAATAAGAGGGTATGATGGTCGTGAGTATGGCCACTTTGCTTTCATGTCAGTGTCACATCGATCAAAACACTTACTGCTCTCTTAAGCTAACAGGTACTCTTTCTCTCTGATGACAGGAACTACTTCCAGTAGCAATACAATGGTAGCTCCCACAGACGGCAACCCTGACAGCAAGGCCCTAAAGGAGAATTTCGAAGAGAGGTGAGTACCTCAGAGCACGTGATAGTTTCTTCATGCTGAGGCTCTAGCAAAGCATGCATTTCCATGCTTGACCGTCTTCACATCCTCAGCGTCCTCTGCTCTTTGATATGCTACAGTGATAAAGGACAAACCGTGCTAAGTCACCGTGTGCAGGGAGGTTTCTAAATGAGTATTCATTCTGTGTCTTTCTATCCATAGCTCTCACCACAATCCCTCTGTGTAGAAAGGAATAATTGAGAGCTTTTTTCAGCTTTAGAATTACAAGGTAGAGCTTGGTGTGAGCCTAGTGAACTGTCGGTGACATCTTGTATAAAGTGTGCTGCTTTTACACATAGAAAGTAAGACAGACGTAAAGGGGCTGAAGAGATGGCTTGATATACAAATCACTTGCCACACAAGCACGAGGATTAGAGGAGAGATTCTCAGAATCCCCATAAAAGCCAAGCAGCCATGGCAGCCAACCAGTAACCCCAGCACTCAGGAAGGGGAGGTGGAAAAAAATCCCTCAGACTAGCCACATAGGCAAGACAGCCAAGGTCAACCTCCAATCTCCGCATACTTGTGCACTTCTGCATGCGTATGTACACATACAAACACACATACCAAGAGTAAGATAAAGTGAATGATAAACCAGAAGTGCCACTTCCCTGTGATCTGTGCCTGACTCCCACGTCGGTCCTCCCCACAGCTACGTGCACCTGGATATCTACAGTGGACTGAACAGTCATTTAAACCGGCAACATCACAGACTGGAGTCTCGATACAGTAGCAGCTCCGGAGGGTCTTACGAAGAGGAAAAAAGTAACCAGTTCTCAATGCTCCTTAAATCTTACTATTTCGATGGCATGTGTTGTTAACCTTGTTAATGAGTTTCTCTTCCAAGAAATTGTTTTAAAACACTAAGATTGCATTTATCTGCCAGTAGTTCTAATGTGATCTGAGGTGTCTTGATTTTAGGGAATGAATTTGTTAAGCAAGGGGAAATTGGGAGATTTTTGTTTCAGGTGTAGATTCCCTTCAAAAAGCATGTAGAATCGTTTCTCAAGAAGCGTCCGAGAGCTGGGCGGTGGTGGTGCACACCTTTAATCTGAGCACACAGAAGGCAGAGGCAGATGGATTTCCAAGTTCAAGGCCAGCCTGGACTACTGAGTTAGATCCAGGACAGCCAGGGCTACACAGAAAAACCCTATCTTTTTTTTTTTTTTTCTTAAAAAAAAAAAAGCATTAGAGAAAAGACACATTGTATGCTGTCTAGCTGTTGTTCTTTAAACAGATTTACTTATCTTATGGATCCGAATTTTTGGTGAAAAGTTTTCTCTTCTACTTCCAAAGTGATCAGTCCTATCCAAGAAGCACTGCCATATGAAGGAAGGGTAGAGTAGAAACATTGTAACTAGAGCCAGACGCTGGAGGATCTGGTCCAATCCTCTCATTTTGTCCATCATGGAACTGAGGTCCAGAGAGGTTAAGTGACTTATCCATGTCACACAGAATTCCTATTTCTGGGTGTCATTTGTTCTGCGTCCTACAGCCCAGTGTGGTAGAGCAGATTTCCTCCAGAGATGGGTTTGTGTTGGCCACATCTCAGGAAATTTAGAGCCAAATAACTTGCCAGAAGACCCTTGTCTCGGGGCAGCTTTATTTATGAGATGGTCTCCTGGTCTGGCCTTCAACCCGGGAGAGGTGGGACATGTCAGTGTAGTTTTGCTTGAGGATGGAGCTTCGATCAATAAATCAGTCTCTCCGTCTCTTCTTCCCCCACGTTTATAACCTTTGTGCCTCGGTCTCCCTAGAAAATGTGTATCAAGATAGTGGGAAATTGTCTGGATCCCTTCCCAATGCTGTGGATAGCGGGGTGTCTTACTAGAGCTTGCTTACGGTGCAGAAAATGAGATGGTTTTATCTTGATAGGTGACTCAATGCCACTTTATTCTAATTGGCGCCTGAAAGTGATGGAGCATAACCAAGGAGAGCCACTGCCCTTCCCGCCAGCTGGAGGCTGCTGGTCACCACTGGTGGATTACGTGCCTGAAACAGCATCTCCTGGACTGCCTCTTCACAGGTGGACTAGAGCGTCATCCCTATTTCATAACGAGCCACGAGGCGGCTGAACCCCTTCAGCTTCCCAGACACTGTCTGACACAGCACAGCATAGACACCACACCAAAATTAGACCTGTCCGTTGAGACGTAAAAAGATCCGTGTTCTGAGCGCGCAAAGTTAACATTACTGAGTCCGATTCTCCTGCTGCCCTTCTGGGTGCCTGGCATAGTTACTTGACCTTTCTATGACCCAGTTACCACATCTGAGAAAAGAAAAAGTGACTTCTTTGTGGTCCACCCTGGTTTTGTTGTGGTTTGGTTTTGTTTGTTTTGGAATTCAACTAACCTGAATTCTAGTGAGTGGAACCACAGGAAAGCAATCACTACATTATTTCAGAATGTATCAGTGCACCAAACAGGTACTGAACACCTATTGGGGCAAGTGCTGTTTGTGGTATGGCAGGTCTGAAGAGTCAAGATACGGAAGTACAGCCCTTGTCTCCAGGGAGCTCTGAGCCCTGTGCTTTGTGCTAAGGCTGTCGCTGTAACTGTTTGCTTCTGTTGCATTTGTTTTTCCCTCTTTTTCCCCTCTAGAGAAGTGTGTTTTCGTAGAATACTCAAGTCTTGGAGGAATTTGTACAGTTTTCCTCTAGGTCACTTCCACTCTGGTAAGCAGCTAACCGTGTCCTTCCTGTCACAGGTGTAACATAGCTGTGATCCTGCTGACAGACCTGATCATTGACCACAGCGTGAAGGTGGAGTGGGGAAGCTACCTCCACCTTCTTCTTCATGCAATTTTTCTAGGTAACAAGTTCTGATCCCTCCACTTTGTGTTTCCAGGACCGTTTTAAGGTAGTTAGATCAGTGGCTCTCAACCTGCAGGATGCAACCCCTTTGGGGGTTGGGAATGGTCAAACAACCCTTTCCTAGGGGTTGCATGTCAGATATCCTGCGCGTCAGACATTTATGTTGTGACTTACAGCAAAATTATAGTATGACGTAGCAATGAAATAACGTTTTGGTTGGGGTCCCCACGGCATGAGGAATTGTATTAAAGGTGGCAGCTTTGGGACGGTTGAGGACCATTCTTCTAGATGCCGCTGTTTCTTGTGGTTTAGTATTGCTTCCATGAGACTTCACATCCTCTCTCTCCAGTGGGGAGTTACTCTTGGCCTGACCACAGGCGTGCCTATTGCCTTTCACCAGGGAACAGCCCCAAGGCCCTGTGCATGCCCAGCAACCACGGTGCCTCTCAGCCACTCCTCCAGCCCTTATCACCTCAAGTCTTACGCCTGGCTCCTAGTGCCCTCCACCCCCACACACAAACACCTATGCATTCTACCACAGGGCAGGAGCAAGAGGAGATGTGTTGCTGTAACCAAGTAACATTAGCTTACCTCAGAGATTACCTTTCAGTGTGAATGAAGAATGTAAATGCATGCCGAGTGTGTAAAGTGTCAGACCTCCGCAGAGTCTGACGACAGCTAAGTGTGCCCGTGTCCTTGGTGGCAGGCATGGACTCTTCCACGTCTGTAAAGCCTCTGTGCTTTGAACATTGGCTTTCTGAAGCCAGTCAAGGTACTCATCTTCTGATGAAGTTTTCCTACTGTGACCACGTAGGTCACAGTGTTTGCCCGACCTAGTTCTCATGGGAAATAGTCATTTACTTTGTCACACAATCCAGGCAAAATAAGATGCTACCTTTCTTAAAAGAATTAACAGATATCTGATATTACATAGCAGAATCATAATCTAAGAGGTTGTAAAGTTTTTGGCATGAAACAAATTTAAAAGTTAGTGTCACCGGGCGGTGGTGGAGCACACGTTTAATCCTAGCACTTGGGAGGCAGAGGCAGGCGGATTTCTGAGTTCGAGGCCAGCCTGGTCTACAGAGTGAGTTCCAGGACAGCCAGGGCTATACAGAGAAACCCTGTCTCGAAAAACCAAAAAAAAAAAAAAAAAAGAAAGAAAGAAAAAAAGTTAGTGTCAGAGGCAGGCGGATCTCTGTGAGTTCCAGACAAGCCAGGTTACATAGTGAGACCCTGTCTTAAACACACACACACAAAACAAACAAACAAACAAACAAACAAACAAAAAATAGTTACCCCGTTTGTCCCTAGGTATACAGTGGGCAGAACTGTGTGTGGAAACTTAGGGGCCAATTTAGAACTAATCTGCGTAATACATAATATTCTATGACATCTCTTATATACAGTGAGCACTTGTATTCATGGGTTCTGGATGCCTGGGCTGAACCCACCACGGCTTGCACACTCCTGTGTGTGTCCTGGGTTTGAACTCAACACACACAGACTGTTCCCCCCCCCCCCCCTCTCTCTTTCTCTCTCTCTCTCTCTCTCATTGATCCTGAAAGAGTACTGTAACCATTCCTGAGGTAGTATCTCCATTCTGTTCTTAGTAATGCAGATTTGATTTGGAGTTTCAGGAGGGTGGGGGGGTACTCATGCTACACCATGGCATGCCAGGAGCCCACGCGCTGCCCGTGGGCCCATTCCATCATATGAGTTTTATGGCAAGCACACTGCCATCCTAGCTGACGATGCTCTTGTCCTGTCCTCTCCAGGGTTTGACCACTGCCACCCTGAGGTGTACGAACATTGCAAACGCCTGCTTCTGCACTTACTAATAGTGATGGGACCCAGCAGCAACCTCCGGACTGTCGCCTCTGTCCTCCTCAGGAACAAGGAGTTCAATGAGCCCAGGGTGTTGACAGTCAAGCAGACTGCACACTCGGATTACACGTTCACAGGTACCAACTTGGAAGCCCAGGGTCCTAAGGCAGAAACACGCCTTCAGCTTGGAATCCTGCAGTAGCGAAAAGTCTACCAAGGAAAGGTTGAAAACGTGTAAACACTGCAAGTGCAGTTGTACCATCTTAAGTAGCATCTGACTCATTTATAACCAGCCAAAGAATGCACTGAAACGAGCAGCCAAGCCTCTTCCTTCTAAGGCTCTCCAGCAAACAGACTCTAGGTTGGGGAATGCATAAGTTGAACAAGAAACAAAAAGTGCTTCATTGGAGGCTTCTGTGGTGACGATTATTTCACTGTGGTCTGCGTCTGTGTTAAAATTCTGTTTTCTTGATGCTACAGTCCACTCACTAATTATTACTATTATTATTATTATTGTTTATTATTATTATTATTCTACTCTTTACAGTTTACAAAATGATGAGATTTTTCTCTTAGGAATCAAAGTATATTTGCTTTTTTATCTACTCACGTGTCAGACACAGTGCTGATAAGATTTTTAAAACTGGCTAAGCCAGGCAGTGGTGGCACACGCCTTTAATCCCAGCACTTGGGAGGCAGAGGCAGGTGGATTTCTGAGTTCAAGGCCAGCCTGGTCTACAGAGTGAGTTCCAGGACAGCCAGGGCTACACAGAGAAACCCTATCTCAAAAAACAAAAACTGACTAAAAGACAGATCAAGGACTAGGTCCATGTGGTAAAGAAAAAAGAATAAAGACAACGCTCTCAAATTGTCCTTAGCTTGTACATACTCATACACACACACACACACACACACACACACACACACATACACACATTCACACTTGTATCACATACACACACAGTCATGCACACACACATACACTCCCACACACCACACACTCTCACCCACACTTTCTCACACACACCACCCCCCCAACATACACAAAATTAAGCTAAAAAATGTAATTCTAGAAGTTTTTAGAAGCAAAAATAGAATAACCTTCCTAGTTTTGTATGAAAGCAATTTCACTCAAAATCCCAGAGTTGTTGCTTTCTAAATGTCCTTTTGCTACTACTTTGTATGGCTTTAACTATTTTTATTGCTAAATGGTGTTTATTCAACAATTGGCTTGATGTAAATATTAAAAAGAAACTAAAACAGATTCTTAAAAGTAAAATGGAGCCAAGACCATAGAATTTTTTTTCCACATGAAGTTGAAAATTAGTTCACATTACAAAGGTGAAGAAAACACCCAAATCCCTAGGACTTTGCTGCTGCTCGTGATCTCCTGAGGGTGGCAGCAGAGGACCACGCAGTAAGTGCAGCTAAGCTTTAATTATGAGCTGCAAACAGCATCTACCCTCAAAACCCCGCTGTAGCTGCGCCTGTGGAGATGGGGAAGAAGAATCCTGCCCACCATCCACCCACGCCCTCACGTATCCCATGCTGTCTATGAGTAGCAATGAGCAGTACAGTTTTGTACTATATCTGTAGTCCTGTTGTGTGTGTGTGTATGTTGATGGTTGACTTTCTCTTTCAGCAGGCATTAATGATTTTACACCCGATTACCAGCCGTCCCCTATGACCGACTCAGGGCTTAGCTCCAGTTCTACCTCCTCTAGTATCAGCTTAGGAAACAACAGCGCTGCCATTTCACAGCTCCACGCCACCCTCCTCGGGGAGGTGGACCTCTCAGTGGAGCAGGATGGAAAAGTCAAAACCCTCATGGAGTTCATTACCTCAAGGTAACCAGGCGGCTCTCGCCATCCCAGCATCCTTTGTGCTGAGCTAGCCTCGCTTCCGCCAAATAGCACAAGTCAGGTTTAGAGCTTTCTAAAACTCTATGCTTTGAAACACACAAGTTTATATTGTATGCATAAATGTCATATATATATATGACTTTTGTGTGTATAGATGTGTGTATGTATGTATGTATGTGTATATATGACTAAATGCCCAGAGACGACAATATTATCTAAAGTCGTAACAGTCTAATTAACCAACCAGCAAATACTTTTTTATGGCCTGCTGCATGCCATAATAGATAAATAGATGGAAAAACAAGGGACTTGGAGAAAGCAGGGTGCGTTTGGCACCGTCAGACCCAGAAAACTGATTTCTACACAGTGCTAGAAAGCCTGGGAAACCAGGCCCATGGTTATAAATTACATTTAAAAAAAAAAAGTGTTTGCTGGAAAGTTGGCTCAGCAGTTACAAGTACTCTCTGTGGCAGAGCACGAACACAGGTTTTGCTCTCCCACACGGTGGCTCACAGCCCTCTGCTTAACTCCAGTCCCTGGAGATCTGACTTCCTCTTCAGACCTCAAAGGGCAACAGGGATGGCAGATACACATGCATGTGCAACACACATAAAATAATAACCATTTTTTATGGGTTTTGCCTGTGTGTATGTCCCTCTGATATCTACCCAGAAACTGGGCGGTTAGTTTTTGTGAATGACCAAGTCATAAAATTATGAAATATAACTAGGAAAAATGACATTGAAGGGAAATACACAGAAATCCTAAATTTTTAAATTTCCCTTTTCTATGAGCAGTCAGGCTTGGCTGTCCCTGAGCTCCCGTCCTGTCTTCCTCCACTTGCTCTAGGCCCTTCCTCGTCCATGTGCTTAAGCAATAGGAGTAAGCTGTGACCCATGATCTGATGTGTCCAGCCACTGTCCCTCCTATGTGTGTCAAAGCAAAGTAGCCACAGGTAAGGGCAAGCGGTTGATGCCAACTCCAGGCAAATGAATGTCGCCGTCTCGTTTTCAGAAAGCGAGGGCCCCTTTGGAACCATGAGGACGTTTCTTCCAAGAACCCCAGCATCAAGAGTGCTGACCAGCTCACCACGTTCCTGAAGCACGTGGTTTCTGTCTTTAAGCAGTCAAATGCAGGTACTGTCGTTTATGAATACACTGAGCAACACTTGATCTCAATACAGTGTCCGTACGGCTGGATTGTCAATGATGCCCGTAGAAGGTTGATAACCAACACTCTCCTATGTACACATGTTTAGAAAGATTTTTCCTGTCTAGTATGATAACAAATGTATTGGTAAAGAAAAATTACTAGTTAAAAATAAGATTTCCACTCGTGACATAATAGTCACGTGGCCGATAGTCGTGAAAGTGTATAATACAATTAAGAGGTATGAAAAATAACATTAAAGCGGCGGTTTTCTGACTTTCAGATGCTGCAACCCTTTCATACGGTTCCTCGTGTTGTGGTGACTTCAACCATAAGATTATTTTCCATTGCTACTTCAGAACTGTAGTTTGCTACTATTATGACTCCTAATGTAAATACGTGATAGATATGTAATATGCAACCCCCAAAGTGGTCCTGACTCACAGGTTGAGAATCGCTGCCTCAAAGGGAAACGTACAGAAATTATCCATTTAAAAACCCTTTCTAGTTAAGTAAAGTCTTCTGCAGTTGAAAATTTAACACATTCTGACAGCCTTTGTAAAAGCATTCCATGCTGACAGGCATGGCACGCTGCCTCTCCTTACCTTTGGCAGTGCCTAGAGTCATTTTTGTCATCCCTGTAGGGTTGGCAAAGTGAGTAGGATGTTAGTTACTAAGTCTCATCTAATACTTAGGACACCCCTCTTTACAGTAAACTCCCTGTCCCCCTCAACGGTCAGCATTGCCAAGATCAGAACAAAGATCTTTCTCCAGTGCCATACACTATACTCACTGTACGGAATTAAACTATGGTCCTCCTGGCCAGGTAGAGTGCAGGGCACTGGTGGTAAAATGATTAGCCTCTGGTTACAACTCCCCGAGTTATACACAAGCACCCATGGTCTCCGTGTCTTCTCAGAAGGAATACACTTGGAACGTCATCTCAGCGAGGTTGCTCTGCAGACGGCCCTTTCGTGTTCTTCTCGACACTATGCTGGGAGATCCTTCCAGATTTTCAGGGCACTGAAGCAGCCCCTGTCTGCAAACACACTCTCTGATGTCCTCTCCAGGCTCGTGGAGACTGTAGGGGACCCAGGGGAGGACGCACAGGTAAGGTGCTTGCTACCTCCTTTTAGGAAGTTATCAGCTGCTCCTAGGAGTGAAGGATACACACACACACACACACGCACCCGTAGCCAGATCTACACACCAGCTATGTAATCACTGACGTCAGTTAGCAGCAGGCAGAGCAGCAGGAAGCAGAGTGAAGTCTCCTGCTGGCTCTTCAGATCCTAATTTTTGCCTGTTACAGAACGCTTTTCAACACAGATCTGCACACTACTTTTCAACACAGATCTACACACTACCTTTCAACACACAGATCTCACTCTAGGCTCACCCCAAGGTAGGAGTGTTAAAATGTTAAATTTCAGTGGGAAGAGAAATGGAGAGTTTCGTTCTCGAAGATAAGTAAAACATCACACTGGAGGACTCAGGTTTGTACCGTGTAGTGGGTGGATTGATTTTAGACATTAGATCTTCAGTGACAAACAAGACAAAGTCTTGGCATACTGGAAATTGTAGAAAGAATGGTTTAATCTACCAACTACAACCCACATGGTCTTACTTAATAGTAAATGCCTTGGAGTACTAAGGTATTGATTTTAAGAGCCATGGAGAGGGGAGATACACACACACACACACACACACACACACACACACACACACACAGGCTTATCTAAGTGGTGATCTTTAAGGAGATGTTGAAGTGAACCAGGTCCTGTGATTATCAGGGTTGAGAACATTTCAGGGAGGAAAACAGGAGTCAGAAGTGCAAAGGCCCTGTGGCAAGGACAATAGGTCTTCTTTGAGGAACTACCAAATGTTGAGAGGCGGGGGCCTGACACAACCAGCCCAGAAGGCGGAAGTCCTTGCAGACTCTACAGCACACTAAAGGAAAGCCACTCCAAGGATTTGAGAAGAGAAAAAGAAGTATATGTGATATGATTGGCTTTATTATTTGGGGGGAATGGCCTCTCAGAGCTCTCTAGGTGGCTTCCTTGTAGAGGTTGAGGGGACAGGTAGCATCAGAGGTCTGACAGGAGACTGTTGAAAGAGTCCAGGCTGAAGCAGTAGGCTCCATTCAAAGAGACTGACTACAGGAGGTGTGGGAAAGAAGTCAGATTTAGGCTATATTTTAAAGTGATATTTTTCAAGACTTGATGACAGGTATGGTGTACATATAGAGATGGAAATAAACAGACAGTGCCTAAGACTTCTGGCCTGAGCAGTTTGTGGCAATTATGATGCTGTTAAAATCAACCCGTGCCATTAGCCTGATGAGCGCTCAACAATCAGGAAAGTTGCGTTGCTCAGGATGTTAATTATTTTGCAACGCAAACATGAGGTCAGTTCTATTTTTAAATCTCCCCAGGAAGTCCATTGCCATTTTAAAAAACAAAAAAAAACAAAAAAAAACGTAATTAATGAAAATCTCTTCTCTGCCCCCAGGGATTTGTGATTGAACTGCTTCTCACCTTGGAATCTGCAATTGATACCTTGGCTGAAACCATGAAGCACTATGACCTACTATCTGCCCTCTCTCAGTAAGAACTTGCAACCAGGCAACCCTGAATGCAGGGCCCCGGTGTCTAAACATGTGACTATGGTGGCAGTGGCCGTGTCTATTGTCAGTAGTGTGGGTAAGATCCCAAGAGTTCAGACAGGGGGCTGCAGATGGAGGCCAGCCTGCAGCACCCGGGAAGCCTAGGATTTGATCCCTAAACCAAATAAACCTGGTGTCGTGGCCCCTGGACATCCCTTGGAAGTTGGGGAAAGGTGGGGCAGAAATTGAAGGTTATCCATGGCTGCACAGTGTGCTCAAGGCCAGCCTAGGATACACAAGACCCTGTCTAAAAGAAAAAGCAAACACAGGGGAGGAGAGATCAGATGGGCTGAAGAGATGGTTCAGCATCAACTCAGGGGGAAACTGAGTTCAGATACCCACCCCGCATCCACCCCACAACTCCAGCTCCAAAAGGTCTGACACCCTCTTCTGCCATTCAGAGCCATCCACAGATACATGTGCATACATTTTTCTAAATATATATATTTTTTAAAAGCGTGGAAAATGCTTACGAAGTGAGAACTGCCCTCGGCGAGGACTTCCAGAAAGTTCTGGAAGCTGATCTTGCCAGTGCTCTCTTCCAGTTCCTAGTTGGGGACTTTTTACTGTCTAAGTAGAATCCACCAGCAAGCCCCATTGGTGTCACTCACAGCAGGGTGCAGTTACTCCCAGGGCGGTCCCTCAGGACCCCTGCCTTCCCCAGAGCCCCTCACTCCCCACCCTCGCGGGTCTCTGGCAGTGATTCCCTGAAGTCCCCTGTCAGAAGTTACCTCCTGCCTAATCATTTCCACTCCCCTTGCTAATTATTTTTTTCTTTGGGAGTCCTAATTTTCCTTTACATCTTACTGATAGCGATGAAAAGGGTATAAATATATCTTTACTTTCCGCCATAGGTTTTATTTCCCATCCCTATCTTTTTGCATACTTTTGGGACACATATAAAAAAAGTAATTAATTTTAATCAGTTGGCCATGTAGAAGAAGTCAAAACTCTTTATGCTTGGGTCCCATAGAAAGAACGTGGGACTGGGAGCAGGAGAAATTGTCTAGAAATTGAGCATTGTCTAGTCGGACAGCCGTGATACAGACAGGGTCCTCTTTAGATGGAACTTGTATCTCTGTTCAGGGCTGAGCTCGTGACTACTCTAGCAGTAAAAACCCCTTCTGAGCTCAAAAGACACAGCCCTAGCGGGAGATAATCTTTTTGCACTCTTTGTTTTTATGTTGAGGCAAAACTGAGATCTCATGAAACAAAGTCAGATTAAAAAAAAGTTACTTTTCAGTTATTCAAGAATAAATTTAATGTCGCAAAGGTGACTTCTATCATTCCTTTTTTCTCTCTTCTGCTTTTAGAACCTCATACCCCGATTCTGTAATGGGAAACAAGTATGCAGCTAACAGAAAAAGCACTGGCCAGCTCAACCTAAGCACAGGCCCCATTAACAGCGGCAGTCATTTGGGGTGCAGCGGTGACACGAGAAGTAACTCTTTGAGGTTAAGTCCAGTTGGTGACCGCAGAGGCGACCGGCGGCGGAGTAACACGCTGGACATGACGGATGGACGGATAAACCATGGCGGTAGCTTGGCGAGGACTCGAAGCCTGTCCTCACTGAGAGAGAAAGGCGTGTATGACACGCAGCCCCCGACAGAGCCGAGCAACCTGATGGCCACCATCTTTTGGATAGCAGCATCTCTGTTAGAATCCGATTATGAATACGAATACCTCCTGGCTCTCAGGCTTCTCAGCAAACTGCTCACCCACTTGCCTCTGGATAAGTCAGAGAGCCGGGAGAAGATTGAGACCGTACAGAGCAAGTTGAAATGGAGTAACTTTCCAGGCCTTCAGCAGCTCTTCCTTAAGGGCTTTACCTCAGTGTCTACCCAAGAGATGACCGTGCACCTCCTCAGTCAGCTCATTTCCGTCTCCAAACACACACTGGTGGATCCGTCCCAGCTGTCAGGTGACGTTACTATAGTCTATACCGACGCTAATATCATCAATATCGTTACCTTTAAGGGTGTATGGCAGGGGTTTGGAGAATGAACCCAGTCTCCTGGCAATGCTAAGCAGACACACAGCCAGTGAGCTCCATCCTCGGCCTAAAATTATCTACTTTATTGTAGCTAGAATGTAGACCAATCATTCGTTTCAAAATTGCTGATTTCTGCCCCCCGCCCAAACATGTTAGATCAATTATCTGGTAAAAATGTATAGTATTAGGTATTGCATAAAAGTGAAAATGGTTTCTGTAGACAGTTTAAATATGACTTTAACTTTCCAAAATAATGTGCAATAAAATTGGTTCTTGTTTGTTTTCCCACCCGATAGGCTTTCCTCTTAACATCCTTTGCTTATTGCCTCACCTAATCCAGCATTTTGACAGCCCAACCCAGTTTTGCAAAGAGACAGCTAGTCGGATAGCAAAGGTAAGCCAGCTCGCTGTTGAGAGGCCGGGCAGCAGGCACTGTCCTGTCCTGCAGGTCCTCTCGCTGGTCCTTTATGAATTTTGCCTCTAATGTTTCTTCTGTCCATCATAAGGAGCTGCACCAAAGCTGGTGAATAAAAAATCACATTCCAGTGACCCTCCTGAGTCTTGAGTCTTTTTCTGCTCCTTTTCCCACTTTTCTTCTCTACTGCTCTGTTTCTCTCTCATTCATTTATTTCCTGGCAAGGCCGGATCAGGCCCTGGGGTGGGTGCTAGCGACACAGTGAGAGAGGTAGATAGAGCTGCCATCCTCATGAGCCATGGAGTGGGAACATAGGCATGGAAGCCGAAGCCAGCCTAGAGTCTGGTGAGGCTCCAGGCAGTGGGGGCAGACCCTCTAGGGGCATAGACAGCAGAGGTCTCTCTACAGGAGGTCCTGTCTAGGCTTATACTGAAGATCAAATAAGAACCACCAAAGTGGAATTCCTGAGTGAGAGGCTATGAGGGGACCAGGAACTGAAGGTTTCTGGGCAGAGGAAGTTGCATGTGCAGAAGGCTGGGGAGTGCTCATCTGTTAAGAGCCCCTGCTGTTCTTGCAGAAGACCTGAGCTCAGTTCCCAGCCCCCACACACATAGCATGCAGGCACACACAAACTAAATAGAACTATTAAAGGAGAAAACCACCTGTGCAGAGTCCCCTAAAAGACAAGCCATAGTATATTTTGAGTTTCTTAAAACCCTTTCTGCTTTTTTCTTTTTAACACTTCCTTTTGTCTTTTCTCTCTTATTTTTCCTTCCCACCACACAGTTCTGAAAGCAGCAGTATAATTAGCTATTTTATATCATCTGTTAAGGTGTTGAAAACACGTACGTCTCTAATTTCATAAAATATGATTTTGACATTTTATACGTTTAATAATTGCCTGTCTAAACAGCTCTTTAAAGATAAGATTCCTGTTTATACATGTACGAATATGTGTGCGTCGGCCATTGTCCCTTGGGAGAAATTTTCAAACTTAAAACATACAATTACAAACAAAAGTTACATTTAAAAATAATACGCACTTGCTGTAAAAGACACGGGCCGGGAGGAGTCAGTGGCAGACAGCACAACTGCAAACCAGAGCCCCAGGAGGAAAAGCCAGAAACGTCCCACAGAGAGTAAACTGCCTTTTCTTGAAGAGCTTTTTACAGAAACAATTTTCCTACAATCGGTGATTCAGTCAACGAGCAGCACAGAAAAGGGAAGAGGCCCGCACGTACAGCCCAGTGAAGGGACCCTCCCGTTGTCAGACTCGACGCTGTTAAGTGCAGAGCCATACAGAGTGCTAAGCAGTGCTAAGCAGCAACAAAACATGCCAGCAGTAATGAAAGTAAACCTTGCCGGGTAATACAGAGGGAACATGGAGAAAACATGGAGAGCTAGGCAAGGTGGCTGGAGCCTGTGAAGGAAGGATCACCACAAGTGAAGGGCACCCTGGTCCCCCGAGGGGGCTGTAGGACAGCCACGGGGTGCAATGAGGCCCTGCCTTAAAAACAGACCAGAAAAGATAAAGGGTGTATTAATAAAATATGACCTTGAGTCCCTCCCTACTTGAATTTCTAAATCTATTATAGTTTATTAAATACAAAGAGATTCTTAAATAGCTGATTGTAGATTGCTCGGCTTGCCACGGTTAACGGAAACATATCTTAATTTCCTAAACACAGTAAACCAGGCCTGGTGGCTCAGGTCTATGATCTCAGTGCTCTAGAGGCTGAGAAGGAATTTTGTGGGGAGTTTGAGGCCAGCTGGGTTACATGGTAAGTTCTAAGCCAGCCCTGGCTACAGAATGAGACCCTGTCTCAAAAAATAAAAGAATTTTTAAAAATCCAAAATCCTGAGCTGGCACAATGGCTCACTGGGAAAAGGCACTTGCCCCCAACCTGTGCAACCCAAGTCCTGTCCCCACACAGTGGGTAGAAGGAGAGAACCTTGACTTCCGTACCCATGCACACACGCACAGTAAATAAAGAAATGTAATGAAATCAAAAGAGAAGAGAATATGGTAGAAAAAGGTGGCACAAAGATTCTCATTCTTGATTTCTTTAATAAGTTCAATAGAACATTAAGAATTTGATGGAAAACTGATGGTTTGAAGTGAAATATTTTGGAAAATATTTGCCTGAAATAAACCAACTTTATATATAGCATTCTCACTGATAAAGTATTTAAGGTGATATAAAATTTATTAAAAATGGCTTTCATTTTAATATTCCAGTTATGCATCGTTAGGAAAATACAAACAAGGTCTCTCCCCAACCCCAGCTGAGGAGTTAGAAAGATGACAGGGGGCGGGGGTGGGGGGAGGAAACTATATATTGGCTTAATTGGAGTTTTTAAGGGAACAAAAGGCTCAAGTAGGAAAATAGATGCATCTAAGAGATGTCGCTGGAATGTGTTTGGTAGCAAACCCACCGAGTGCTGGAGTCACTGAGAAGCCTAGCCTGGCCTGAAGGATGTCGTAGCCCCTGAGGATAAAGCTTCTGGGGTCCTGACCTTATCAGGATACAGGAAGTCCCCAGTGATTTTTTTTCTTTTCTTTTTTTTTTTTTTTTTGTTTTGCTTCTAAGAATCCAAATCAGGCTTTCTGTGATTGCTAAATTGTTTTTAAGTGTGCTATCTCCTGGAGCGCAGCACAGGATGGCTCCCTCTGTGTGTGCTTTTAGAAACCTGCAGGTTGTGGCTTAAATTGATTTCCTCAATTTATTCTCTCACCTGGAACTGTTGAGAGTAATTTTCTGCTATTATGTGCTTCCTCGTTATGCAAATGTCACTGGATCTCTGTTGGTGCCCATGTCGAGCCCGGCATCTTGGGGCTGGGCAATGCTCTTTCATTATGGCAGGAAACTTGCCAAAAAGTCTGTTGCAAAACATTTCTTTTTTTTTTTAACCACTGGATTGTTTTTTAACCTGGTGCTTCCAAATGTCAAAATTCACTCTTAAGGCATTTTCTTTTTTTGTAGTGCACAAACAGGAATTCTCTCCCTTTTCAAAGATAAGTGTTTAAAAATCATTGTTGAGGAAAAAAATACCCTTTTGTAAGGATTTAGTATAGCCAGAGGTGATGGCACACACCTGTAATCCCAGTGAGTTCAAGTCTGGCCCTGGGCCACATAACAAGGCTCAAAAGCAAACAGAAATCTCCAAAGAGTGATTTACTATTCAAGAAAATTTATCTAGCAAGGATATAAATAGTCATTGTGAAATTATAAGATTGTACAACTTTTTAAATTACTCATTAGGTTACTCTATGTTGAAATAAAGATGACAAACCAAGTCCCCACCCCCGTCTTCTCACTGTTGTCTTTATGGATAATGGGTGAGATCTGCTGCTTTCAGTGAGTTTATAAGATAAATTTTCAGGGTGCTATATTGGTATTGTCCGCAGTTGTACATGTGTATCTGCAGCCCATGCGTGGATAATGGCTGAGAGATGGACTTGAGGCCCTTCAAGTCTATCAGCTTCCTCTGAAACTATTATATTATTTAAATAAATAGTTAAATATGTGCATATTTCAGAGGCAGAGGCAATATTCTCTTTATTAAATGCTACAGGCAGTTGTAGAAATGGGTACAACGCATTAGGAGTAAAGGGAAGAACAAGCTTAAAAATAGAAAAGAAAACTGAAATAGACAGTATGACAAGGCTAGTCTTTGTAATACACATGTACGTGCATGCATATATATATATATATGTGTGTGTGTGTGTGTGTGTGTGTGTGTGTGTGTGCGTGCGCGTGCATATATATGTACGCATATGCATATATACAGACATGTAGCGCATACATATATTCGTACACATATATAAATACTAGACTTGTAAAACAGCGAGGGCGCTTTTCCAGTTCTAGATTGTCATAGCATCTCCAGAGGAGGCTAAGAGACATCTCACCAATCACCCAGGGAATTAAGGAACTAAGAATATGTATTCAGTCTATAAAATCCCCCCCCCCCGTTCCCCACAAAGACTTTCTGATCCCCATCATAGCTCTGTGTGAAGCAGCTTCTGGAAAGGTTGACTTCCACCAGAACTGGCCAAGGCACTTACATAATTTCCTGACAGTCTTATGGCTGGTGTGCAGGCTGCTACCAGTGGAGATACCACAGCTCCAGTGTGGTCCTGTGGCTATCACACAGGTTGAGGCTGTGAGCAGTAACTAGTCCATGAGGTGCCCTGAAGCAGCCTGAGCATCTCAAGTTGAGCCTGCCCGCTTAGGCTCTGGGGCACTAGAATACTTTGGGATTTGACAAGACAGACGGAAAGTCATGAGTAGGGCTTATAAACTCATAGACAACCATTCACCAGAGACAGCATTATAGACTGTAAAACCCAGACGAGTGCGGCATGCATCAGTCCTCTTTCTGGTCTTTGGTTGCAGTGGCTGTCACTCTCCCTAGCGCTGCAACCCTTTAGTGCAGTTCCCCGTGTTGTGGCAACCCCCCCACCATAAAGTTATTTTTATCACTACTTCACAACTGTACTTTTCTTACTGTTATGAATCTCAATGTACGTATTTCTGGAGATAGCAGTTATCAAGGGGATCCTGACCTACAGGTTGAGGACCACTGTTCTATTGCAATTCTCTTGGCAGAGCCTTGGTCTTTTTCCCTTTCCCATTTTAACTTTTCTGGCTTTTTTAAAAACTGAAAGGCACTGAAACTTTAATGTGCATCTCAAATTTTGTCTTTAAATAAATGCATTTAGCCTAAAGCAGGTTTAAGTTGTGGGCAAACAGAATAAGCATGTGTGTTCTCCAGGTCTGTGCGGAAGAGAAGTGCCCGACGCTGGTGAACCTAGCTCACATGATGAGTCTGTACAGCACACACACCTACTCCAGAGACTGTTCCAACTGGATCAACGTGGTGTGCCGGTACCTGCATGACTCTTTCTCAGAGGCGACCTTCAGTCTTGTGACTTACCTGGCAGAGGTGAATTTAGGCGGTTTTGGACCGCTCGGTGGTGAAATTGTCAAGTGGCTGTTTATAGAGGCAGCTGCTGTGGTACTAACTTGTCTTCCAAGCTGTGTATGATTAGAGAGAGCATAGCATCAGAGCGTAGGGGGTCCCGCTCACATCCATCTCTAACTAAAAACAAAGTGTCCCACTGGCTTCCCTATAGTCCAGTCTGGTGGAGCTTCTCTACCAAGGTTCAGTATTCCTGAATTACTCTAGCCTGTGTCAAATTGACACAAAAGCTAGCCAGCACAGTAATTAATGGAAACCTTTCCTTACAAAAAAGAAAAAGTATGTTTTGGATGGTGTTTATCCTGGAGAATGGGTGCAATTCTTATTTCGTACTTGGAACCTGGCCTCATACCTGTAATCATAACCATCAAGAAACTGGGGCCAGAGGTTTTGGGGGCTAACCTGGGCTACACAGTGAATTCCAGGAAGGAAGGAAAGAAGGAAAACTCAAGAGAGAATAAAATCTTGGGGTTTTTTGGGTTTGTTGTTGCTGTTTGTTTGTTTGTTTGTTTTTAACTCAAAGGCATGTCTCTTTCTGTGATGGCCAGTGTGAACTGGGTCCAGGTGGCAGTTACTCATTTGGTTTTATAGGATTAAATCTTGTGCAAGATCAGTTAGCTACTGCATCTCTTTGTGAATGGTTAGCCCATCATTCTTTGGTGATAGCAGTGCGGTTGTTCTTTCTTTAACCTAAAATAAATAACATTTATTTATAAGTTTATTGTTGAAGACTGTTATTGACATGAGAAACAGTTACCCTTCCTGACAGAAGGGGAATGCCGTAATGTCTATGCCCGTTGTTATGTTTCTTAATCCCTGATCACTTGAGCAACCTGACAGATAAACCTATAATGTTTTTCAGGGTTGTAAGTATGCTGCCCGGTTTTTGTTCACCCTGACTAAAGCCTGCATTTCACTGTTGTTTTCAGCTGTTAGAGAAGGGACTGTCCAGCATGCAGCAGTCGCTGCTACAGATCATCCACAGTCTGCTGAGCCACGTTGACTTGTCTGCAGCCCCCGCCAAGCAGTTTAATCTGGAGATCATAAAGATTATTGGCAAATACGTACAGGTGAGTGACCACAAGGCTCACGTGCAGCACTGCTTAACTCAAAATACTTCATGAGCATAAATAGTCTGAAGCATCTTCAATCCCAAGGGTGGGGAACACCAGTGATATTTCTGGAATATTTCCTACACGGAAAACATTCACTATGTAAGTGACACAGGGGCACCGTCTGTGGATCTGTTGTGCGGGGCTTTTGTCAGATGTAAGTCACATGTCTGTGGCGCTCTAGAGGGTGTATGTATGCAGACAGCAGTTCTTTATATATCGTTCTTTGTATGACTCTCTGTGTTGGTGAGGTACTATATATTAGATAAAAAAAAAAACTTTAGAGAGAGGTACTTTGAAAGTCTGTACTTTAAAGTTGGTGCTTGTATGTCAGAAGTGCCAGATATTTAGAAAGCAGAAAACCAAACTTTCTTTAAATGTGAACTGTGATTTAAAAAAAAAAAAAAAAAAGAACGCTCTTGTATAAAGTATCAAGAGACAGCTCAGCAATTGAGAGCGTGTCCTGCTCTGGCAGCAGACCCCAGCACCCACCCCAGGCAGCTCACAACTGCTGTCAGTGCAGATCCAGCGGATCCAGTTCCTTGGTCTGGACTCTGAGCATCTGCATGCATATGCACACGCACACACACACACTACATAATTAAAATATACTAGTAATAAGATAAAGTATCCCGAGAACAGATTCTCTGAGAACCTTCACAGGTTACTATGTTGCACTTACCCCACCCACATATGCACTCACTGCAGTAGAATCTTAAAAGGGAAATACTGACTTCAACAGTTTTGTAGCCGAGCCCCAATTTGAAATTAATCATTTTGTATGAAAATGTCTTTGAATCCTTAGGGTTGTGGCTGGATGGCAGAAGTGTTTTCTTTCCCCATGTATTCTTTTTAATGTATTTTTTAATGGGTGTGAGGGGCTGGAGAAATAGCTCAGAGTTTATGAGCCCCGGCTGCTCTTCCTGAAGACCCAGGCTTGATTGTCAACATCCACGTGGTAGCTCAGGACCATCCATGGCTCCAGTTCCAGGGGATCTGATGCCTTCTTCTGGCCTCCTCAGGCAATGGCACACATGAGTTGCAGAGCCATACATGAGGACAAAAAATACTTACATGTATTAAAATAAAAGGAGAAAAAATATCATAAATTCTTTGCTGGACATTGATTCTTCTGCACATACACATCTGCCATGTCAGCTATTCCTAAATTATGTTGGAGGAATATATAAAACTAAGAAAAGCTTCCTCTGAAGATCAGCAGTGCCTGAGAGTGTCACCCCGATATTTGGGGCCCGGGTAGTCAGGAAACAAAAGTTCAAGCACTGAGAGATAGCTTACCAGTTAAGAACACTTGTGGCTTGTGCTTAGGACCCCAGTTTGATTCCCAGCACCCACATGGCCGCTCACGACAGTCTGTAGCTTCAGTCCCAAGAGATCTGACACCCTCTTTTGGCTTTTGTGGACATGACACAAATATGAGATGCAGAGACAGGTGCAGGCAAAGCATCGGTACACACGAGATAAAATAATGAAAACGTTTTTAAAAGTCAGAATGTGTTTTAGTATTTAATATACATCTAAAAAATATATATTTAAAAACTTTTTATCATCTATTTAAGATTTAGCTTTGAAGCCAAAACTTCACCTCAAAAGCTTAAATGTATGTGATTCTTTGTCTGAACAGCCAGGTCTCTGCATAAGACTTTGCAAATTAATGATTTATAAAGTACTCCCTGAGAGAAAACCGAGGTCCTCCAATGGGGGAGCGTCATTAGGTCTATTGCGTGTGATAATCTAACACTACCAATAATAACTCAGATTTTCCTATGTTTGGTAACTCGGAAGACCTTCTGTTAAAAGATCTCAAAGGAAAAATCATTTTACAGACATCTTAGAGCAACGCTGTTCTCACAGTCCGTGGTGTGCTCTGGGGGCTTTGTTCCTCTCCATGCACACTTATATGTGTTGATTCTTCTGAATCCAGAGCCCGTACTGGAAGGAAGCCCTCAACATCCTGAAGCTGGTGGTGTCCCGCTCTGCAAGTCTTGTCGTCCCCAATGACATCCCCAAGGCTTACGGAGTAGATGTAGGCTCTCCCGAAATCTCCTTCGCTAAAATCTTCAATAACGTCTCAAAGGAGCTGCCCGGCAAGACCTTAGATTTTCACTTTGACATCTCCGAGGTGAGCTCTCGTCACCTTGTTTCTTCTCTCAGGCCTACATTAGCGGAACTTGTACTTGGCATTAGGCACTGGGATGGGTGCTGTGAAACTGGTTATAAAAGTGAGGCCAAGGCCAACTTCTGAGGAAGCTTACATTATCCCGAGGAAGCAGGCAGATGAGCGTCATGATGCCTGACTGGAATGGAAATAAGATAGAAATGCTCTGGGAATAAACAGTGCTCCTAGAAGTGTGTTTCGGAAAAGAGGTACCATCAAAGCTGAGTGTTATAAAATAAGTCCCTAGGGGAGCAGATATTACAGTTTGGGGTGCCCTGGTTAGGGTTTCTGTTCCTGTCATAAAACACGATGATCAACATCAACCTGGGGAGGAGAGGGCTCATTTCCTTCTATAATTTGTAGTCCATCATCCAGGGAAGGCAGCACCAGCACCTGGAGGCAGGAGCTGATGCAGAGGCCATGGAGGGACCCTGCTTACTGACTTGCCCCTCGTGGCTTGCTCAACTCGCTTTCTCGGTTATTTGTAGAAAACAACTTGAAAGATAGGTTAACATTTAACATCCGAAAGTTCCTCTGGTGTGGAGGCCGTCAATGCCGGCATTTGTTTCTGTGTAGACACCCATCATTGGGAACAAGTACGGAGGCCAGCACAGTGCCGCGGGAAGGAATGGGAAAGCAAAGGTGATCGCAGTCACCAGGAGCACGTCCTCCACCTCCTCCGGCTCCACGTCCAATGCCCTGGTTCCTGTCAGCTGGAAAAGGCCACAGCTATCGCAGGTACTTAGCGAGCATCGGCATGGGATAGAAGAATTGATTTTTGTGATCCTGTAAGCATCCTAGAACCGTCTTCCTTTTACCCAATACTAACACTGGAATTTCCTTCCTGTTAGCGGAGAACAAGGGAGAAGCTGATGAGCGTGCTTTCCCTCTGTGGCCCAGAATCTGGCCTCCCCAAGAACCCCTCTGTGAGTACTCAGGAGCATACAGGTGAAGGGCACCAGAGGCGCTGTGTCTCGGTGCTTGCCTTTTCTAAGTAAGTCCTGGTGTTGACCAGGAATAAAAAGATGGTCCTGTCTGTTGCCAGAGCTGGCAGCGACGCTGGTCAGGTGCTGAACTAGTTAGGCCTGAAGACTAAATCGAAATTCTGCATTGACTGAAGGGCGAGGCTGACAGGGTTTTGGAGGGGCTGGTGCCTCAGACGCTGACTGATAAAGATGGTGGGCAAACCTTTTGTTTTTTTCTTTTGGGGGCATCAGGTTGTGTTTTCTTCAAATGAGGATTTGGAAGTCGGGGACCAACAGGCCAGCTTGATCTCTACCACCGAGGACATAATTCAAGAAGAAGAAGTTGTCGTCGAAGACAACAGCAGTGAGCAGCAGTTTGGCGTCTTTAAGGACTTCGACTTCTTGGATGTTGAGTTGGAAGATGCGGAGGTAAGACCGTGGGCCTTCTTGATGTGTCTAGATGGTCAGGGTTGAGCCAGCCTCTGACCGTGGCATCTTCCCTTGTGAAGATGAGTGTAAAGTCAAGAAAGGCAAACTAAATATGGTTGTCACAATTAGTCAGTAGCAGAAGGAACCTAAATAAAAGAGGAGTCCATTCTATCTTTAAAAAGTAAAAAAAAAAAAAGAAAAAAAAAGAAAAAAACAATAAAAAACAAATTCATTATAGTCATTTTAGTGTGTTCATAGATTTAAATGTTTATTTAGCATGAGCTAAACAAATTAATAGTAAATATATTTATTAAAATTGATCAAACATTAGTTTCTTTGATTTTTTGTTTTGTTTTGAGACAAAGTCCCCTCACCCCTGGCCTGAACCTCATGCCACTTCTCCTGCCTCAGCCTCCCAAGTGTAGGTGACAGCTGTAAGCTCCCATGCCCAGCTCAGACATAGTTGTATTTGTCACTAATGTGGCTGATCATACAGTTTTCTAGAACTGTTTTCTAGAACTCCGCCTCTGGCAGGTGCCTGAGGGCCTCTCACTGGCGAGGCCCAACCACTTTTTCTTCAACTTCCACAAGGACCAGTTTCTTCCGAAACACAAAGGGTTTCCCCTTATAAACTGATTCTGTCTAGATATGGCCTTCTAGGCCAGTGGTTCTCAACCTATGGGTCACGAGCCCCTTGGCAAACCTCTACCTCCAAAATATTTACATTATTACAGTCTAAGGCAGTAGCAAAATTATAGTTATGAAGTAGCAACAAAAATAATTGTATGGTTGGAGGCTCACCACAACATGAGGAACTGTAGTATTAAAGGGTGGCAGCCTTGGGAAGGCCGAGAACCACTGATCTACCTACCGCCTGATTAAGGGTTTTCTAAGTGGAAATCCAAGTGCGAAGAGCAGATTTGTCAGCCCAGATAGCTCAGCTAGCCCCGAGGCAGAGATCTGCATTCAGCATGACTCTGTGAGGCCTTATGTTTCCCAGCCCCACCCCCATCCCTTCATTCCAGGCCAACTTGGTCTCAAACGGCAGCCCAGTGACCATCACTGTTCTGTGACCTCGTGTGCCCGCATAGCAATGTTTTGTAAGGATCTGAAGAGTCAACTCGGGTAGCTTGTGTGCACCCCTCAGCTCTCATGGGGAGCTGTTCTCTTTGGCCACCATGTCATATAGTTAGCTGTTCACAGGAGACAGTCTAGGGAGGTGTGTCCTTCCTCCTCCTCTGCCCCCCACCCCCGCCTTCCCCTGCTTCAGCTTTGAAGATAGGAACCCAGAACCTGGGAATCTCACACATGCCAATAAACTTAAGCCACCTTTAAAAGGGAAGTTTTTAAACCTATGTTTTCTTATCCTATGTACATTTCCCATCTTCCTTCTTATATTTTTATCTTCTAAAAGGGTATGTTTTGAAAGCCATTTTAAAGGTGTGCTCACATTCATCCTTTGGAAAAACATTTTGGAGGAAGCGTAGGACAGGAGACAGGCTGTCACAGCCAGGAGGGAGATGGGATGGCTTGAGACTCGGTGCCCCGACCTACATTTGTGAGCCGATTCTAAATCCTGCTGCAGTTATTTTTTTTTTCTTGTTCAGAATTCAGATTTCTAAAGGCTCTTGACATTTTTCTAACGGTTAAGGTTATTATTTTTTTGTTTGCCTTTTTCCTGTAAAGAGCTCTGGGGATGTGTTTGAGTTCACCCAGCCCGCCCTCTGAAATGTCAGCAGGAAAGACTCCAGCCTTCAGTAGCTCCTTAGAACGCTGAAGGATCTGCGGTCCCGTCTTTACTTCAAGTCACAGTGACCTAGGGGGAGTAGGAGAGGACTGACCTGAACCCCAGAATTAAGCAAGCCGAGGCTACAGACTTTCTACATATAGTCATGATTAATTAATTTATTAATTAATAGCAATAGGAAATACTTGGATTGGATGGGCAAACCAAACAAATGAAATTCCTAAAAGATTCCCTTGCAGTATTCATTCATTCATTCACTCATTCATTCATTCACTCATTCATTCACTCATTCATTCATTCGCTCACTCATTCATTCATTCATTCATTCACCAAACACACTGTAAGGCCAAGTGCCATTAATGTGCTGGGCATCATGGTCATATTTACAATGTAAGCTGAAGAAAGTTACTTTTCAAACCCTAACCTTACAGAACCCTAGAATGTCTAAAACACCGCGAGGAACAGCCAGGATGAATCTAAGGGTACAGGGACAGGGCTCCTGAAGTGCCCCCAGCCTGAACAGTTTGGGTGTCACCTGTCAGTATTACACAACTATCTTCCATCTAAAATCCCATTTGAAAAAGAATTAATTCCTCTGTTTAGGGGGGAAAAAAAATCTATCTTTGAAGCCTTTATTTCAGACAATCCCTTCCATGTAAAGGATATAAATTAATCATTTTTTGCCAGCTTAGTATAATTTGTCACACCACGGCTTCAGACTGTTAAGACACGTTCTTCAGAATTATGGCTCAGCACAAACACAGCCTAAATCCTAACAGGAGTGAAGCTGAAATGTATCTCTCTTGTGGCCTCTTTTGAAGTCGGCAATGGTAGCATTTTGATAGCTATGATCTTGATTTTAAATCCTATTGATAGACGACCACTGTGTTGAACCACAGCTGTCCTGCAGACGAAAGTAACTATAACCCCGTATCGTCGTCAGTTGAATGTGGGTACTCTGAGTCAGTTATTGCACTCTACCAAGTATTAGCCGTGTAAAATTTGAAGATTTCTGTAAATTCTGTGTTGCCGAAGTGTACCACGGCAGCGTTGTTCTACGTGTCTGTCTCCAGCTCTTCCCCAGTTCAGATCACATGTTGGCTTCCCACAAAAAGCTAAACCCAGAGCTCGCATCCGTCTCTGAGTTTGAGAAATCACAGAGTTCTTTTCCCAAAAAGCGTAGTATATATCTGAATGTGCGTCTTCGTTCTTTCTAACTCTGTGTGTTTTCCTTTTTGCTAACCAGGAGCTGCAGGTAAGTTGTAGCCTGGTGTCGTGCGGTTTGTGTCTCTGTTGCCCGTGCCTGTCCTCTGTGTGGTCTCATCCGTGCCTGTGTATTAGAGTAGAAATGACCTAGAGTGTAGATCTAATTGGTCCCCCAGCGGTGCAAGATGGATTATCAAGAAAATGACTTTGTAAAAATAACCAAATGACTTTTAATCTCTATAAATATAAACATTTGATGACGGATTAAACATTGAAAGAAACGGGCAGGTTGATTGAATTTCTGCTTTTCATAATGCATTCAGTAATTTTTTTTCACCTTAGTATATGTTTCCAGGTGTCTTAATCTCTGCAGCATCAGTAAGCATGTGGCTGAGTTCTTAGCAATCGTGTCTTGCTTTTCTAGGGAGAAAGCATGGACAACTTCAACTGGGGAGTCCGCCGGCGCTCACTGGACAGTATCGACAAAGGAGACACACCATCCCTCCAGGAGTACCCATGTTCCAGCAGCACCCCCAGCCTGACCCTGACGAACCAGGAGGATACCGATGAGTCCTCGGAGGAAGAAGCTGCCCTCACGGCAAGCCAGATCCTGTCACGCACACAGATGGTATTAACCTCACCTTTCCACAAAGTCGAGAGGCTTCAACTAACTCTTAGCTTCCAATTTAAAAAAAAAAAAAACAAAATTAGACTAGGGCCAACTAGATCCCTGCAGTTCCTTTAGGGCTTCTCAGATGGCACATATTTTTGGTATCAGCTAGGGCATTTGGCACCTCTTGGTACACAGCTGCTTTTCTTTCCTGGTGTGTAAGTCACACTTTGAATGTATCACATACAATTGAGCACAGTGTTGGTCCTCTTCAAGATTAAGTTAGGAGACTGGAAAGGTGGCTTAGCAGCCAAGAGCATTTTCTCCTCTTTAAAAGGGACCTGGGCTCAGTTCCTGGTACCCACATCCCGCAGCAGCTCATAGGCACCTACAACTCCAGCTTCTGAGGACCTCATACTCTCTTCTGTAGTCACATGCACATGCCTACCCCCATCTGCACATGTATACACACGTAACTTTCTAAAAATATACATTGGTGTTTTGCCCTCATGGATGTCTGTATGAGTGTCAGATTCCCCTGGAACAGGAGTTACAGACACTTGTGAGCTCTCATGTAGGTGCTGGGAATTGAACCCAGGTCCTCTGGAAGAACAGCCAGTGCTCTTAACCAGTGAGCCATCTCTCCAGCCCCTACACATAACTTTTAAATAGTAAAAATAACTTCATTAGGGGGTCAAAATCAGTTATGTGACGTTCTGGCTCCCATCCCAAGGGCTATGTGGCCAACTTAATGAACAAGGCTCATCCACCAATCCAGAAACGTGTGGGTTGTCCAGAAGCCTGAATTCACAGGTAGTGTGAGGGTGGGATTTGGAGACAGCAGCATGGAGAATGACACCCTGGCGTGTACAGTTCAGAATCATCCCTAGTGTCGGCGAGGATTACCCAAGTCTCCTTACAGCCTGTCTGCCTTTAGCAGAGACCCCTCACTCTACAACATCTGAGGGTCAAGCCCTTGTAGCAATATCGCACATGACAGGCTTTAAGCAAGGTGTCACGCTGTCTGTCTGTGGTCAGCTTCCTGTCTCCTCAGCTATTTGGCATCTCATTATTAACATAAATAAGTCTTCCCAGTGCCACCCCCCCACCCCTTTATTCGTGAAGTGACTGCTGAATATTCACCACCACGCCAGGGTCCCCAAGGTGTTTTACTAGTCTCCATAATTCTCACCTGACTCTGCAAGGCAAGCAGGCTTAATGCAGAGCTGGGGAGTAACTGGAGTGTCCCAGAACACACAGCTAGTAAGTAGACTGGAAACAGGCTCTGTCTAGCGCCCATGCACTTCACCATGGCGAGAAAAGCCATGTTCCATGGGACTAGTTTAGAGGGATGGTTATTTCCTGGCCACAGACACTGACTCAGCACCTGTGGAGACCAACCATGCGCTACGAGGCTGGGCTGGCCTTGCCTGTCTCTCTGATCATGGATCAGATTATACAAATCTTGACTATAAACTCAGAGGCTGGCTTTACCCTCTTTGTAACTCTGGGAAGTTGTGTTACCATTCACTAAAAGTAGACCCCTAACAGTAGTGCCTTGCTAGAGGTAAGCCACCCAACACACAGTGAGTGCGAAAAATGGCTAGCTCTCACAAATCCCAGGGGCAGAACTGACTACTTACCAACAAGGACAGGGACAATCTCAGTGATACTAATTTAGGGGAAAAAAAATCATTGAAAATTGCCTTGTCTGCATTTGCCTCTGTGTATTCTAAATCAAAAGCTGGTATTTCCTAGGTTGAATACCAGCCAAGAGAAAACTGAGTCGTTGCTTCGTCATTAGCTCTGCTATAAACAGCTTTACAGTTTCTCTTTGCTTTTTCATCTTATGAAACTGTGCAGTTGATTTCTGCTTACGTTACTAAGGGTGCCCTCCCGCGGGCCTGCCCTCCCTGAGTTCCCTCAGGTCTGACTGAGATGGAGCTCAGTAGCACAGCACATGCCTGGCATGCACAGGGTCCTTGGTTCAATACCAGCTCACACAAAACACTGGGTTTGACCTCAGTCACCACCTACGCTGGGCATAGTGGTACATGCCCCAAAGATAGAAGCAGAAGGATCAAAATTATAAGGAACGTTGGCTACAGAGCTTGTGGCCTCCCTAAGATACGTGAGACTCCACCCCACGCCCCAGGGTGGCGGGGGTGGGGGGAGGCAAACACATGAGAAAATACAAATTTTGGCTCAAGGCCAGTATAGTTCTAGATCGCTCCCAGTTCTTTCCCTTTGTTTGGTTAGCAACATCTAACCTCTGTGGCTGCATGCTCCATAGTGCTGAGGGGTCAGCTGCCTCCATTCACAACCCATTCTGATACACACTAGATGGGGGAAAGGCAAACTAGGAAACACCACAAAGTCTCTATAACTAAACCCATAAAATATCCGGTGACGCGTGCTATGGCTTGCGGCTGTTGCCACTAATGAACGAATCTTTCCCACAGCTCAACAGTGACTGTGTGGCGGACGACTTGATGCACGAGCACCAGGACCTGCTCCAGTCTCAGGATTCTGCCAGCAGCAACACAACGGAAGACGTGCTGCACATCAGAGACGAGACCCCCAGTTTGGAGGCCTGTCTAGACAATGCTAGCAGCCAGCTGCCTGAGGTGGGGAGACACGGGGCTGGTGCATGGCCAATCTAGGTTCCCTTCAGCAACCCTGCCACATCCCTCGCTCCTCTCCCCAAAAAGTTTTCAGCTGACATGCTGCTAATGATCTGATTTGTTTTCAGTATTTCTAACCTGTTGGGTTGTTTTAAACAAAACGGTCAGACCCTATTGGGTTGTTTGTGTGTCTGTGTGTGTGTGGTTTTTTTTCTTTCTTTTTTTTTTTTTTTAAAAAAATTGATGTGTTGGAAACAGCCTACAGGTTAAAAATAATGTCAAATATGTCAATGAGCAATGCGTTGCAGAGCGTGACTTGGCTACTGTGCCAGCGCTTCTCTGGGGACGGCAGGCCTCGCCTGGGGTGCTGCGACTCTGTGAAGGACTGCTTCTGTGTGTCCCTCCCCTTCCCTTTTGCTTTGTTTGGGTTTTCTGTGATTGGTGCTATGACTGGGTTAGGACCTCAGGCTAGCTGTGTTAGCAGACGGTCCAATGAACCTTACCAAAAGACTTTGGAACCACTAGTATTATGGTTTTTGGAAAGGCCTGTGAGAAGAAAGGCCAGATTCCAAGCTAATGACTGACCCAAAATAAGTAAGTATTAGTTGTCTTAGTGTTTCTTACTTTAAAAGATAATTATAGATACTTTTTTAAAATGTTAGTTATTGCTGTAAACATGTGAAACGTGCTTTTTGCTCGGTCGGTAAATAATAGAAACTAGTACTTTTTTTTTTTTTTCTTAATGAACTTAATGTAGTTACTAGACCCTGACTGACATGGCTATTTTATTGTATTGGTTTTATAAGGCAAAGTCTCATATTCTTACTAGGCTGACAACTGGACGTGTCTTCACACTCATTAATAGTCAGCAGATACATCTTGAAATGGATGTATTTTGGCTCCCTGACTCACCTGTCTTTGAAATTCTAATAGAGTAAAGATGCAGGCAGCTCCGTGAAGTGTTCATTGTGATTTCACTAGGGATGATGGGATTTACTGTCTATATTAAGGAAGAATGAAAAGGCATTTGATATATATTTAGTACAGAAGCTCAGTGATATATTGAAGGATTTGTGGCAATTCAGAGAGTAATAAACTGGTTGGTTTTGGTGGTGACAGAGATAAAGGACAGGTTTCAAGGTATTTGTACCTTCCAGGTAGAGGAGTAGCATACGGAAGACATGGCATGTAAACTAACATGGTTGTTCAGCTGGCTGCAGGGAGTTCAGTATCCCAAGGAATAAAATGGGTAGAAGATGAGAGAAACTAGAATCGAAGAGGGTCAGATGTGTGGTCAGGTACCACTCTCAAGACAGACTTCCTCAGAGGGCAGGAACTCCTGCAGATGTTCCTTTCAAAAGATGGCTCTGCTGATGAGTGTTGAAATCTTGCCTGAGAAGAACCAGCTTAAAAGGAGGAAAGGCGCTGGGCAGTGGTGGCACACACCTTTAATCCCAGCACTTGGGAGGCAGAGGCAGGCAGATTTCTGAATTCGAGGCCAGCCTAGTCTACAGAGTGAGTTCCAGGACAGCCATGGCTATACAGAGAAACCCTGTCTCAAAAACAAAACAAAACAAATAAAAGGAGGAAAGGCTTCTTTTTGGATCACTGTTTGGTGATTTCAATCCCTGAAAGATTGCCTTTGGTAGCAGTCATGGTAGAAGCAAATACCAAGCAACTCAGTCGACCACATCCTTGAATGAAACAGCAAGGGCAAGGAGGAGAGAGAGGTCCCACAGTCCCTTCAAGGTCACACCCCCAGTGACGTAGACCCCCCCACCAAGCCCACCACCTTACAGTAGTGCCACAGTGGGGAGTAAGCCCGGCATGGACCCTTCGAGAATATTCCAGTCCCGAAGCATAGTAATACCTTACATCAAGATAAGCAGTGTGTCGGAGCCCTAAATAGAGATGCTGCATAGGTAGGCATTCATTCATTCATTCATTCATTCACTTCTTTTTTAGGCAGGGTCCTACTCTGCAGCCCTGGTAGTTCTTGAATTCATGGCAGTCCTCATGATCCAGCCTCCCAAGGGCAGGAAGGACAAATCTCCAGATGGAACCTGCGTCTATATTAAATATAATCCATATAGGATGACTTAAGTCCTGCTCTGTGAGGTCAAGGGTCACTGCCCGCCACTTGTAGATCCATGTCTCCTTAATGCACTTGCTGTTTCTCTCCCACACCCTTCAGCCTTTGAGGTCTGCTGCCTTTCCTCGGGATGCCATCCCTAGCCACCTCTCTCTCAGCCCTCCACCAGCCAACACTTGCATGTGGTTGATGCTGTTCACCATTTGTACTCTATATATGCCAATATCCGTTTTTGCCAATATCCGTTTTTGCCAATATCCGTTTTTGCCAATATCCGTTTTTGCCATTCGCGTATTAGCCTAAGCCCATTACGAGATCATAGACTCATGATTTAATTTGTAGCAGAGCATCTGTCTTGAATGTGCTCAAAATTCTTTTCATGGGTGAACTTTATGGAAGAGTGAACTAAGGCTAATCCAGGGGTCCTCACTTGTGCTTGCTTTACACATTTTGTAGGGAAAATTCCATTTTAAAAACATTAAAAAATATTATATTAAGTAATGTAGTCTACTACTGAAAAAAAAAAACATTTATCTTGGCTTTTAAACCAGTGCTACTATTAGTTGAAACTGGAACTGATCAATCCATACAAATTAGAAATGTGTTGACCCCGTTATGATTGGACATGACTTTGGACACGTTTTCCTTTTTTCTTAACTGTGGCAGTTCATTTATTTAGCCAGCATCCATTGGGTTTCTCTGCTGTGGCAGTCACAACACATGTGACTTATGTCAGCTTGTTAACGGTGGGTGGGAAAAGAGACCACCTAACCACTGTTACAGTCTGTAGCATGCATCTTCCTTATTACCCGTGCACTAAAGGTCACGGATGTGCAGCCATTCCTGTTTGATAAATGAGTTTATAATTTATTTAGTTTCAGAAGCTACCAGCTGAAAGTTTCATAATCTTTTGAGAACTCTGTCTTAGCTGTGAGACTCTACTGGGTTTCAAAGCTTCAAAGAAAGAGCTATCTATCTTGTCTTACTACCTGAAGCCAACTCTCCACATCACAGATATCAGGAAAGTGAGTGCAGTTGTTTGGGTTGAGGCCCTTTATAACTGGCCGGTGTCTGATTCTGGCTTGAGGGTGGTGCGGCCCCACAGGATCAGTGGATTCACTCGTGAACCGTCTTACTACCTATAGCCAGATTTACTGTTCTGATAAGATGAAAGGGATGCTAGGTACTTCAAATAAGAGAGACTTTACAGTAACAATGCTTCTTGTATAAAAATAAAATATATATAAGAGAAGGTATTTAAGCAAAGGACATAGATTCCAGTCAGTATCCAAATCCTGTAAATAAGAGGGAGAAGGAACACAAAGTAGAAATGTTTGGTGGTTTTATGTAGCAGTTGGCTGTATACTGTAATTCAAAATTCCAGAGCTGGGGATTGGAGTCAGTAGTCATCTGTTTGCCTCATGTGTTAGACCTTGAGTTCTTCTATACCAGCCAAAAACAAATGGGAAAAAGAAAGGCAATAGGAGCATTTAAAAAGACAGTTGTATATATTCACAATTCAAAAACTGTACAGACTAGACAGTGGAGACCTGGATGCCGGCAGTTGTCCTTTATTGCATTGATAGAATTCCTTTGGTGTTGTTGAAGTCTGCTAATGCTGTGATTGCTTCGCAGGATACAAGTTCAGTATTAAAGGAGGAACATGTTACAGCCTTTGAAGATGAAGGGTCATACATTATTCAAGACCAACAGGACCCACTAGTATGTCGAGGAATTCTTGATTTAGAAGAAACTGACATGCCAGAGCCTCTGGCCCCTGAAAGCTACCCAGAATCCATCTGTGAAGAGGACGTCACCTTGGCTTTGAAAGAGTTAGATGAACGGTGTGAGGAGGAAGAGGCGGATTTCTCTGGGTTGTCCAGGTGAGTATAGTCACACAGACAGTAGTGAGTCTATGCTTCATCCCCATGCCTTTCCAACATGCCCCTTCCCTAGTCCAGTTTATGCATTCTGAAGTATTGGTATTTAGTCTATAACTGTCTTCGTTCTTACAGATAAGGCATACTATGGTTGGTTGGTTGGTTGGTTGTTAGCATCCATATAAAATAAAAAACAATCCATTCCTAGCACACCATGTTAGAAGCACATCACATGCCTGTTTGGGCAGAATACCAAATGTTCAAGTGTTAAAATCAATAGTGGAATGAATTTCTGGGCTACCGTGATGATCTGTCAGAGGTGATTGTCAGAGAGATCACTTCTTGGTACTGGAGGCTATGTTGATTCCTCCAGAAGCTTACACTCTGCACATTCAAAATGTAAAACCAGAATGTGAAGAATTCTCAGACAAAACTTTCCTTTTCGCTTGTGGATTAAGTTGAGTTATTATTACACAGTTCTTAATGGGAATTCTGGTGGCTCTTAGTAAGTTCACACACAAAACAGTTCTGTGATCTGAACTATGATACTGTCTAATGTGTCCTATTTCTCAACAGCATGGCTGCTTAAACGCCCCCCCTCCACACACAACAACAACAACAACAACACCAGTAGACACGCTGGTGTGATAAGGAAAATTCCACAAGGCCTTGCCCCTAGATGCAGAACTACCAGCAATCAATGGTTGATGGGGGTGGGGGGGGGGAGAGGGAGGGACGGAGGGAGGGCCCACACTGTCTCCAAAGGTGAGCCCCTATAGGATATATGATCACAATCCTCAACCCTAAACACATACAGATTAAAAAGAGCATAAATAGAATCTCAGCACTGTGTGTGTGCGCGTGTGTGCGTGTGCGTATGTGTGTGTGTATCAGTAATGAAGAGGGCATGAAGCCGAGAGGGAATTCAGGGGAGGACAAGCAGTTGGAGGAGGAAGAGGGTGGGATGGAAATCATGTAGATACAGTACTCACTTATGAAGTTTTTAAAATCACCGAAGGGATTCATTTTAATCAAATGTGCTGTGTGCTAGACCTGTGTGCTCAGTAGACACAGCATCCTCTTCAGCTGGAGAAAAGGACCGAAGTGAGCCGCTTTGCCTCCACGTTGGCATGTCTATCGTGGTGTTGTCATGGGGGGTGTCAGGCAGATGTAAGATTGAGGTTTCACTGGAAGAGTTTCCCTGTGGAGTCTAGAAGATTCCAGGACAGCTGTCCTTGACCTCTGGCTCTTCAGAGCTTCCCTCCCCTTCTCTCTGGGTATTCCTTGAGTCTTAGGTGTAGGGTTGCCATCTTGTAACGAGAACTGTTCTTGTTGCATTCAGACTCAAAACCTGAGACAGAGTGAAACACAACTTGGTCTTTTTCCATGGCTCCCGTCTTACGTTTTCACTGTCTTGGTGTAGGAATGATAAATTCCTGAGATAAAATAGCCAGCCCTTCTGTCCACTCCCTTGTCTGCTTTACTGCTAGGCACATGCCGGTGCTTCTGAAACAGCTGAGTATATGCCATGGCTGGGCTTTGGGCCTGTGAGGACACATGTACTTGTTTGCATGCACACACATACATGTACACACACACAAACAAGTAAAATAAGAATATAAGACTAAATAAAATTTTATAAAGGGATCCAAAGTAGGCCATAATATGAACACATTGTAATCCATATTAATTGGTTTGTTTGGTTTGAGGCAGGAACTCTCTACATAGTCCTAGCTGTCCTGGAACCATGTTACACCAGGCGGGCCTCGAACTCACAGAGAACCACTTGCCTCTGCGACCCAAATGCTAGGATTCAAAGTGCACACCACCATGCCCAGCCCTAATCCATCTTCCTTGTAGATGTAGCTGGTGTTACTCCAGTAGTAGCACACTGTAGACTTGGGTTAAGGCAGTTGCTTGAAATTAAAGAGTTTTAAAATAGGAAGAACGTGAATGTACTTGAACTATCTTAAGGAGTTTAGGCTCCATTCTATAAATTAGTGCTTCTCAACCTTCCTAATGCTATGGCCCTTTTAAATACAGTTCCTCATGCAGTGACCACACCCATAAAATTATTTTGTTGATACTTCCTAACTGTAATTTTGTTACTATTATGAATCGTAATGTAACTATCTGATACGCGGCCTCCAGAGGGCTTATGACCCACAGGCTGAGAACTGCTGCTCAAAATCAGTGTGTACCTGTGAGTAAGGCTAGTTCCCATTGAATGGTGTGAAGTACTAGGACTCTGTTCTTTTGAGATAGCCTGAGGGTTATTACGGTTTTTATGTCTACAGTCAAGAGGAAGATGAACAAGACGGTTTTGCAGAAGTGCAGACCTCACCTCTCCCGACGCCCTTTCTGTCCGCCATAATAGCAGCTTTCCAGCCTATGGCTTATGAGGACGAGGAGGAAGCGTGGCGCTGTCACGTCAATCAGACGCTGTCGGACACAGACGGCTCCTGTGCGGTGTTTACGTTCCATGTGTTTTCAAGACTGTTTCAGGTCGGTGGGGGTCAAGGCTTCTGAACTCACAGTAGTTAAGGTGAAAATGAAGCTTCTCTACTTGGCGTCTCGGGCTTTGATATCCCTGATTTCCTTTAACAAGCGTGTGTCTGTGAATGTAACATTTTCTTAATTTGCAGCTTGGCCAGCAGTACTCCTGGTACATCAATTACTTACTAGTACAGACATGAAAACCCACAGTGAAACCGCTACACAGCTACCACACAGGGTCTGATTTTCTGTAGTATGCTGGGTACCAGAGAAATAAAGGCATGCCATTGTACCTGCCCTCTACCAGCTGATACAGGGAGGGGCACAGTATTTAAAGTATTTATAAGGGGATGCTAAATGACACTTTAGTCCCCATGGGAACTAACGATAGTCGCTTTCCTCCATTAGGTAACTGTAGCAATGAGCACTGTCATTTTTTAAGTGCCTACTCTGTGCCGCATGCTATTCTAGATGTTTTCCAGTGAATATTCTCAGACAGCACCATGGCATGTGGATACCATTTTGAGCATTGCGTGGGGAAGGAGAGTGCCTAAGGCACTGAGATGCAGCGCCTGTTGACTGTCCATCATCCTCCTTTCCCCACCCACACTAAGTTTCCACATGTACTCCAGCCTCCAGCTTCCTTCCTGGGCAGTCGTCCATGCTCGGTGGTGTGAGTTCCAACTTAACTTTCTGCACTCACTGCCCTACCCTTGGCGTTCTAGTTGTTTTCCTTCCTCAACAGTGATAGTGGCAGTCTCCCGATGTGCTTTTCTCCCCTCAGTCTTAATATCCTCTAGCAATACCACATGCGTGTATGCAGATACACATTAGCTGTTCCCTGTGCCCAGCTGTTTCACCTCTCCTCAGGCAACCTGGTGGCCGCCCACTCCTGAGAGGTCACTGTACATGCTGATGGTCACAGCACACTGTAGGCTAGATCTCCTGAACTCAAACAGTTTCCCCTCTAACTCTCCCAAGTAGTTGGGCACACAGATGTGCGCCATTGTATCTGGCCATAATAGCTATTTGTTGACGTAGCTCCTAAAGAAATATGTACAGACCTAATAGATCTCCTAACGGAATTCTGTGGATCCTTACAGTAATTTCAGCTGTAACACTTCTTTACATAAAAGAGGGGAAAGGCCTTTGTGTGTGTGAGAAATTCTAAACTTTTCTCCCGCTTTCCTCCTAGACAATTCAAAGGAAGTTTGGAGAGATAACTAACGAGGCCGTGGGCTTTCTTGGTGAGAGTCTGCAGCGTATTGGTACCAAGTTTAAAAGCTCATTGGAAGTAATGATGACATGTTCTGAATGCCCCACTGTGTTTGTGGATGCCGAAACGGTAAGCCAGGCATGATGGTGCACAGGTGGAAATACCAGTTCACAGAAAGCTGATGGTGGAGGGTCTGAGGCCAGCCCAGGGCAGTACAATGAGTTCCAGGCCTTTCTATAGCAAAAACCTGTTTCAAAACAAGCAAGATGACTATGCTGGGATGATGTCGTTGGTTTTTAGCCTTTTGTAAAAGCAGTTCTCAATTTTGAATTGTGAAGGGTTCGTATCTTAACTCTGATCTACATATATAGCAAAATGTCATCCCTGCCAGACATGGTGGAACATACCTTTAATTGCAGTTTTCTGGAGGCAGAGGCAGGCAGATCTCTGAGTTCAAGGACAGTATGGTATATATAGTAAGCTCTAGGCCAGCCAGAACCACGTAATAAGACTGTCTCATTCATAGATAGATAGACAGACAGACAGCTAGCTATCCATCCCAATATGTGAAACGCTGTATACAACTTCACTGGTTCTATACACATAGAATCCAGGACGAGAAAGCTGAAGTGTCATAGTCTAGAGGTGTATGTTCTTTCCTGTTCTTGAACAAAATTTGGTAGGAGATGGCTAGACAAAACATCCAGATCTCTTTGGTCTTCCTTTGCTTGCTGCAACAGCTACATGTTTAGAAGTTTGAGGGATGGTACCTTCAAGGCATACACTGGTCTGACAGGGAGCAGAGGGTATCCAGTAACCAGCTGGCGGGTGCTCATGACCTGGGTGTCTGCTTTCACAGCTGATGGCGTGCGGTTTGCTGGAAACACTCAAGTTTGGTGTCTTGGAGCTGCAGGAACATCTGGATACTTATACCACCAAGAGAGAAGCAGCCGAGCAGGTCAGTCTCTTCCACACACAGAAATCAAGTGCTTTATGACACAAGTGTTGACCTGGATGCAGGTTATCCCAGACAAGCAGCTCTTTCACTGGCCTTGTGGTAGGTCCTGGGACAGTTCTCTGCTGTCCGTAGAGTTCCTGCCTAAGAACACACTGGGAGGGAGACTGCAGCTGAAGTCAGTATGGCAGGGGGGTAAGTAGTAAATAGTGTTTGGCAATATAGGTGACAGAGATATGGCGAAGGGCATCTGCTGCCTCTGATAAAACTCATCTTGGTGTTGGGGGCAAGGGAGGCAACAAACACGGGGCATATTGTAATTATTGCCTGCTACAGTTCTAGTCAGCCTTTTACACACTGGCCCAGCTCCCTAAGTCAGCCCAGCATGTCTTCAATTGACAAATACAGAAAAACAAGGAGGGAGAAACTGTTCTCCCAGACAAACTTTAGGCTTTTTTTTTTTTTCTAAAATAGATGAAACTTTCACTAATTAGCATTAAATATAACCACATTTAAAGACCTCTGAAAAACCGAGTGGGAAACCTGGTCCTTCCTTCGTAAAATATCCTAGCTAAAAATCGGCAGCACAGATTGAACATGTAAATACGAGGTCAGTGTCCCTGACCCAAAACTCTGAAATCCAAAATGCTTTAAAATCTGAAGCTTTCAGCACCAACATGATGGCAAGAGGTGTCATGGGATAGGTCAAAACATCATGTAAGAAGATAATTATCAGAAGCTTAAGACTGCGGTAGTGAGCTAACCAACCAGACTGCCCCCAATAATAAAGAGATGACAACAAAACTGTCCCCTCAAGGGACACACTCCCCTTTTTAGCTAGGATACTTTAGGAAGGAAGGACCAGGTTTCACACTCCCCTTGAGGGGACACTCGGCTAGTACAGCAGCCCCTTTGCTTCCTGGTGGCTCAGTTTACATATATAGACTTTGTTTTATAAATAGTTATGACTTATACAACATTACCTGCAGGCTATGTGAATAATACACACACACACACACACATTCTGTGCTAGACTTTGTTTTCATTATAAACAAACAAGCAACTCTTGTGTACCAAAACCTAAAACATTCTGGTCCCACGCTTTTTTGATAAGAGACATTCAAGCTGTAGTTATTCAGAATAGCAAAGTCACATAAGTATTAATAAAAGTACGAGGGACAAAAGAGACTTACTTCTCTGTCGGCTTCAACAGCAAAGCTGTTGTAAGCCAAGTACTAGGTATGATTTCCAAAGGGAAGGAAATTTTGACAGGACTGGGAAATGACCTTGGACTCTGAATTTGAGGTTGGAAGATCTTCAGGGAAAGAAAATACCTGCATCAAGGCTTTCTCTCCTTATCATGGGAGTGTGAGCTTATACGTGGTCTGGAAAAAGTAATGAGAGATTGAAGAAAAGAGTCTCGGTTCAGGGAATTATCAGGTGCGATCTGCTCAAATAAATGTCACTGTCTGCGTGCAGATGTCCACATCTGCCAGAGAGCTCTCTGGGTGGAATTGCCAGGTCATAGAATCTGTATAAGTTTGAGTCTACCAAGCAGTTTTACTACAGAAATGTTTGTCCTCAGCCGCACGTGAATTTTCCATTGTTTCATCCCTTGGTCATCAGTCTTCATGACTAATATTCGAACATAGATACATTCATGGGGTAGCTTGTGAATTCTGCCTATGATGGTAAATGAGCTGTTTTCTCAGTTATTTATAAGAGGTCTTTATTTTACTTTTTTTTTTTTCCTTCTTCTTTTTTTGGTTTTTCAAGACAGGGTTTCTCTGTGTAGCCCTGGCTGTCCTGGAACTCACTCTGTAGACCAGGCTGGCCTCAAACTCAGAAATCCACCTGCCTCTGCCTCCCAAGTGCTGGGATTAAAGGCATGCACCGTCACTGCCCAGCTTGAGGTCTTTATTTTAAATATACGCTTTACACATCATTTGTGGACAAGGAAGGGCCATACCATGACATACGTGTGGTAGTCATAGGATGCCTTGTGGGAGTTTCTTTCCATCTGTCAAGTGGGTCCCAGAGATCCAACTCAGGTCATCAGGCTTGGTGGCAGGTGCATACCTGCACTGATCCTTGATACATGCTTTTTATTGGATGTATGCACTGAAGCTACTTTTTCCCTGTTGTTCCACTACTGAAGCATGTTTTTTTTTTTTTTTCTTTTTTGGTTTTTTCGAGACAGGGTTTCTCTGTATAGCCCGGGCTGTCCTGGAACTCACTCTTTAGACCAGGCTGGCCTCGAACTCAGAAATCCGCCTGCCTCTGCCTCCCGAGTGCTGGGATTAAAGGCGTGCGCCACCACCGCCCGGCCTGAAGCATCTTTTGATGACCAGAAAACTTTCACTTTAATGAAATGCAAGTTCATTCTACCCGACAATGCTGGTTCCTTGTGGGTCTTCAGAAATGACTGCCTATCCTAGATGCTGTTACCACACTGGCCCAGTGAACTAAGCCTCCCTGGTCTACATTCCTTTCCACCACAGCTCAGCACCACCCACATTGCAGTCTGGAGTGGCCTTGTAAAACTCACTCTAACTGCCAGAATTCACAAGACACTGCAAATCCCAAGGCAAGCCCTTAAGAAGCCTTTTAGAGTGTCTGCATCAAGCTTTAGGAAACTCTGGTCCCTACTACAGGATGACTGGCCACAGAGAGGAAAAGAGAGATATCCCAGCCAAGAGCCCACAAGTCAGGAGTATAGCATGCTTGGGGACGTGTTCAAACCATGAGCTAACCAGAGAATCATGGCTGATCCTGGTTAAACTGGGAACAGCACATACATATATCTGATATTGGTTACATGCATAGCAAATATTGTTTCTCTCCTCACTCTTACTTTAAGCTATTACATTATAGAGTGCTTGATTTTACAGCAATAGACAACTACTTTTAATGAGACAATTTCAAATGCACAAACATAAAGCTAGCTAATGATATGCTAGACCTTCACAGCTCCAGACATTGCCTTGAGAGAAGCCCATTCAGAGGAGCAAACTGTGTGTCATTGGTTGTGTGTGTCAGATAACCCAATTTTGTAAAGATACCATCTGTAGAATTAATGTACTTGAAAATCAAACAGCGTACTCATGGAAATTCTGAAATTTAATTCCACAATGCATATGGATCTGCAAATGGCTTAAAATTGCACAAATCTTCTTCACCATAGGTCAGTGACCCCTAACGTCAACACTCATATCTGGCCCGAGGTTTATTTTTCTGTAAATGAAGTATTTTGAGGACACAGCCACCCCGCTTGTGTATACATTACCTGCGCCATGTTTACTGCTTAGATCGGAGTTAATATTCGCCACCGAGACAACACGGGTTAACAAGTCTAAGACACCATTTCCCTTTTCTAGGAAAGTCTTGTAGATTTTGCCACGAAGAACAATAAAATTTGAAGTTTTCCTCCTAGCCACCAACACTTATTAAAGATTTCAAATCAGGTGCTACCTACATAAGAGTAGACAGACCGGTGGAACATGACAGATGCCAGCCAGGCCCGGTATGCCAGTGTAATATATGACACAGGTGTGATTGCGTTCAGAAGTCTGTCCTCAGAATTCTGCCGAGAGAGGAAAACCAACCTCGACTCCTGGCGCATCTGCCTCTTTCTTGCCCACAGTCTTCATCGCTCTCTTCTCCTTGGATACCGTCGAGTATTTCTCTGCAGTTTCTCTACAGTTGGTTTTGTGTGTAGAGCTTTCTGCATGCCGGGTGAAGGGCTCCACAGCTGAGGTTTTCCCCCAGCTCTAACTAGGATCTTTGGTACACACCCAGTGTTTCCATCCTCTAGGGTTCAAGTGTGATAGCGAGGTGGTAACCAGGACCTTGAAGTCTTGGCAGGAATTGGACATTTATCTCCCCAGCACCATGAGACTATAATCTGATCTTTCGTCTATCACCTCCCACCCCTGCACTTGGTCAACACATCAACGGCCCCATGAAGCTACCCAGACAGTTGGGCTCGCTCACTGGAGCTTCCCTTTTTCTCTTCAGCATCTCAGCCCTTGGTACCTTGCTATCACTGATAACTACAGCTCACAGTACACAGAACCCTTAAGGCTTGAACTTGAAGCCACCACTGTCTGCCCACCCTCCACAGCAAGGGACACATGCAGGGCTCGCTGCAGTACTCTCCCCCTAAGTCCTGCCTGATGGTTCGTTGCCTGCCATTGGCTTGGATGACCGCTTGCTGGTACATAAGCTGTGCTGTGATCCTCAGAAACAGAGCCTGCCGCAGCACCTAAACTTTTCATTTGAGCAAAGAAAACATGAGAACCATTAGGTAGGAGGTGGGGCTTCTCTGCACAACCCTTCTCCTGTGTCTGCACATGCTATTACATGGCTAGTATTCAGCCACGGGACTGTATTATTGGGGATAAAATCCAAAATTACTACATTAAATAGTATTCCCTAAAAATGCTTAACAGAGTGTGCAATATTTAAGATGTTTAGAATAGGCAGTAAGTGATCAACTGAAATAACTTTTACACAAACTGGACAAGTAGTTTTAAGTGTATAGGCATTTTAACATGTCGTATAAATAGAGATTAAGGCATAAATTTCATGGTAGATGTAGATTGAATTTTAGGAAATCTGCCGATAGCTTCCAACAATGGCTGCCACCAGCTGTCTCTTACCAGAAAGGTTTAACATGTTTTTATTCCAAGACGCTGTCAAGAGAATAACCCAAGGGCCAGCGTTGTCTGGGTGGTTGTGATCAAAGAGACAGAAGGTCAAAGACCTTGTTTTTTGAAACAATTACCATTTCTAATTTTGATTCTTTCTATGTAGACCAGTAAGCTACAATTGAGAATTTTAAATATCTAACACTAAAATATCTTCCAGGGAGCTACTTGGCTGGTAGTTGTTTTCAAAAGACAAAGTCTGAGTGTTTGATTCCTTCATTCCACAAACACCAGCACTCTACCACCCAGTTAGCCAGAAACTGCAGAAGCTCAGGGCTCCACCTGAAGGCCCATAGCTCTCACTCTGGAAATTCTGTGGCTCCATTGGTTTCTACACACCCACAATGCTACTTCCTTTTAAATTAGTATTGACTCAGAGAAAACCCACATATACCCAAATGCCTCCGAGACAGCACGCCTGTCATTTATTACCATCCAAAAAGAAAGAAAAGAAATAAAAACAGGATTTAGATAGATCTCGGTTTCTGTTTCACTAATTAAAAGTGGCATGTGTCTTTGGAGAACTAAACTTCGGATGAGCAGACAGCCCTGGCTCGTTTTTCTGTAAGTTGCCTTTATTAGATCAGCCAGAGGGACAATGAATCTTTCATTTTCCATATCTCACATTTAGACATAAAGGTCAGGTAGAGACAGTGAAGATTTCCAATAAAATTCACCAAGGGAAGGATCTCACACAATACGGGAGCCCACGGGTCCGGAACACCGATTGCATCTTTGTTAATAACGGCATCTGCATCTTGTATTGATCCTTGTTGGTTCATTTGTTTACATGACTGGCCATAGGTGAAGATGTGATTGTGTCTGCAGCCAGTCCTAGTCTTTCTGCCTCCGTCCAAACAGGCTCGTCACAGTAACACTGCTTTCGTTCATTACGCAATGACTATCGAAATTTACCCTTACTCATTTCTGCAGTGGCTGGACAACTGCAAGAGGACATTTGGTGCCAACGAAGACATATACAGGATAAACACCAATGCACACGTAAGTCTCTGTGTTCTTCCCGCCGAGCGCCTGCATCGGATATTATACAGCAATGTATGCATGCAGCTGTCCTTATTTGATATCCCTAGAAAGAACTGTGGGCAAGCCTTTTTCATTTTGGTTATCAGAACAATCTCCCTGAAAGTTAGGTTCAGTGAAATATTGGCTTAGTAATGAAAACCTCACTTTAATAAAAAATGAACAACCAGCTTGCAACCAAAGCTTAATAACATTTAGGAGATAAGCTTGATGGGTATCTAAGCCGTCCAGGTTGGCATTTAGTGCATCTGACTCGGGGGTTGGGGGAGGACGGTTGTACATTAGTGTTCTATGGATATACTGTCTGGTGATAAACACAAACCCCAGGGCAGTGAGCTCTGTAGCTGTTAACCCTAATTGTCAAAAGTGGGGGTCTGTTGTGTTTTCATCCAGTTGCTTTAAGCAGTAGCAACACGTTTCTTTAGAGAAGGGAGCACCCGAGTACAAGGAGAAAGCCTTCAGCAACTCGCCCAACGCCACACCTGACACTTGATTGCAACCTCAGTAACATTTATAATATTAGATATCTCCACAAAAGGTATACTGTAATAAAAATCTGAAGTCTGGGGAAGAGTGAAGTCTTGAAAGAATCATAATTTAACTGTTAAGATTTTCAGGCACACGGTGCCAATACATTGTTCATGGTCGTATTCTCCCCTTACAACTCGGTTGGATGGCCCCTTAGTTATTCCCATTTTGAATATGAGAACTGAGGCTCAGTGGGGCCAATTCGTCTAATAATAAATAGGTAGTAGAAACCAAGATTCAAACCTAGATAGGCAATTCAAAGCCCTGTGCTCTTTGAAAGGAAAAATTAAAATCGTGAATAAAGAAACGAGACAAGATAGAAGTTAACTCTGGAATTGAATCCGTGGATGCTTTTGACAGTACCTACAAACATCCATCTAAACTAAGTGCCCGGTGGTTCGTAGATACCACCTCAAACAATTCCATAATCTCCAAGACTGTCTCTTAGTAAATAGCTTGAGATATTCAGACTGAAAAACGAAGACTTTACTCTTCGGACTGATTTGTATGCCCCGCCTTACACGGACTCCGTGCTGTCTGTTCCCGTATGCCAGTCTATACAAGCAGCCAGTAAATACTGAGTTAGTGAAGATAAAATCTACCATGCAAATATCGGTGTACTTAAAATGTGTATGTGTGTTGTCCTTCATATCTGTTTCAGTGCATCGAGATCAATTTTGGTAAATCACAGCAATAGTTTGTGCCGTTGCCTTTTAACTGTAGTGGCCAGAAGCTTTGTTAGCACATATCAAACCCAACACTACTGGTATGTGTCTATAGAATCACTTCCATGTATTATGCTAACAGGAATGAGGAAAAGGATTTAAAATTCGAATCCCCACCCGAAATAAAGCATAGGAAATGAAACCTCCTGCTGCTGTTTGAAGTTTGGATTGTGCTCTGCTAATGTTACTGGGCCACTGTTTGCATAATTTATGGTCAGCTGTGTGGAGCTAAAGCTCACCTTTGCTTAGCAAATCCTTTCTAAACTAATAGGAATCCTTCAGAGGAAACCGCTCAGAAAAGCAAGTTCTAGAAGCTCTGTTTACAACCCGACAGTCTGTTTCAATCAGAAGCTACCCTTCTCACACATCCAGAGCCTTTCACTCTCTCACATACTGTCATCTTCCCTGGACTCAAACCCAGTTAGGTCAAAGTTCTGACCCAAATGACATTTGAAGTATAGCATTAAACCACACCAGCTCTCTGTGTTCTGCCCTGCGGCCTGTCGCATGAGGGGGACAGCCGGAGAGTCTGAGTAGAGACTAGTAGGAAAGTCTAGAATGAGCCACACCAGAAAGCCTGCTGCTGGCAGGTTATTTCCTGTGTAAGATTATGGGCCGATTCAACGAACCATTTGGTTAAAATAATAATAATAATAAAAATAATGGTAAATTCACTTAGTAAGTTTCCCACTGGACCCATGGAAATGTTATTACAAGTAGCTTTGTTGGGACAGAAAACCCTGGATGGAAATACATCTCCAATAGCTAGGGTTCCCAAGATCACTTTTACTCTCTTATTTTATGCAAATAAAATAATAAGATATTCTGTAGCTCAAGTTAACCTTACTTGCCAAAGGGAAACCAACAAAACCCACCCTGGGCTATTTCAGAAAGTGTCTGACTTTGTATAAATGTGTTCCTCGGTGTGCGTGGGGCATCTGTAACCTCAGTTGCAATGACTTCTTATACTAATTCTTGATCTTTTTCTCTTTGTATTTTTTTTTTTTTTGTGACCCGATCACCTTGCTTAGCAAATGGGAATTCTAGCAGTAAGTGGCCTGTCTTGATTTATAGATTCCTTATCCTTGGGAGACAAACTGGTTCTCATCTGCCATTTGTCCTCTTGTGACCTAGCAACGTTTTTGCCATTGACTACTTTGAAAGTAGCGTGTGCTTCAATTTTCCATAGCCCTAATCCGCGACACGTTGGTCCTTAAAAAAAAGGATGAGATGACGAGACGTTAAACTGAGTGTGTAAACGCAACGAGCAGTTGTGTGGTTCTCTGCACTCGTCACGGGCATGTCTCCTGTTACATCCTAAAATTTAAATTGCACATGTTAGTTTCATAGTCTCACTTGAATGAGATCACCAAGTGGTTTTCTTAAGAGTCCATTTCCTTAAAAGCCCCCCGTTGGTAAGAGGACACCCAGTTTCGCTCTGTTCCAGTTGACGGGTGCATTAGGGACCTCGGAGGGGTCAAAGCCTGCACACCCGCAAATTCCCATCGTCAACTCCAAGTTTTAAATTCATGTCGAGTTCTCCCCTCCAAAGCACCCTATGGATTGCCTCTGACACTGTCTGTCCGGTGTGAAAATGTGCTTCCGACTAAAAAGGAATTCCGTAACCAGCAACAAGCCTTGTTATTTGAAAGACAGCCCCCAAAGCACCTTTCCCCCTCGCCTCTCACCAGTCTCACACCGTATTAACTCGCTTACCGCAGAAGCACAATTGCCAGCGACTTTAACACATCTGTTCTGTTTTACGGGAAGCACTCTATCTGGTCGGATCCGACGTTGAGCTAACCTCCGTTACCACTGCTCGTTTTTAGGAGCTGGAGCTCTGCAGGAGGTTGTACAGGCTGCACTTCCAGCTGCTGCTTCTATTCCAGGCCTACTGCAAGCTCATCAGCCAAGTAAATACGATCAAGAACGAAGCAGAGGTAAGTTCCAGCAGGCACCAGGGACAGTTCTCAGAGTTGTAACTGTATACTCGCAGGCCTGCGTGTATGTAACGTGCTTATGTATATACATTCCTTGGTAGAATGCCTAAAGTCAAAAGCCACTTACATTGATTTTTTTTTTCCCCAAGTTGATCATTTAGCTTTTCCTTCAAACTGATATGCCATGTCAGGTCATCAGAGTAAATAAATATATAGTTATACACAAACACACGTATATTTCTATAAAATACCCTTGGTAAACAACCTTCTAAAATACACTTTCATTCACTGTCCAAAAGCAGCTATAATCTTCCAAGATATAGTATAAACATTTATTGCAACCCAACTTATCTAAAATATCTAAACCTGTGTGTGTGTGTGTGTGTGTGTGTGTGTGTGTGTGTGTGTGTGTGTAGGCATAGTACAAACATATGTACTGTAACACCCAGTACTCAGGATCTCAAGGTCAATGTAGCCTAGGCTACATCAGAAGTGACTTTGCTTCTTTGTTTTTAGTCTTTTAATTGGTGGCTAACCTATATTCCTGACAGAAGAATGTTCCTACCATCAGCTATGTCCCCTGCAACTGACTAGGTTCCCTTTTATCACTGACCATAGGAATTGATCCTTAAAGACTTACCTGTTTTAGGTCATCAACATGTCAGAAGAACTTGCCCAGCTAGAAGGCATCCTTAAGGAAGCTGAGGCCGCTTCAGAAAACGAAGAAATTGATATTTCCAAAGCCGCACAGACCACAATAGAAACTGCCATTCATTCTCTGATCGAAACTTTGAAGAACAAGGAATTTGTATCAGCTGTAGCACAAGTCAAAGCTTTTAGGTAAGCTGGGACGAGACATCGTAGCACCGTAGTGTAGTTCCTCAAATAATAAACAGGCACCAGTTACTCACCAGGCAGTTCTGTTCATAGGTTTTAACCTAAAGTGTAGCATATATACGAACGACATACACCTCAGAACTTTAACATTCTGTATTCTTTCCAGAACCCTCTGGCCCAATGACATCTTCGGCAGCTGTGACGACGACCCCGTGCAGACACTCTTACACATCTATTTCCATCACCAGACGCTAGGCCAGACGGGCAGCTTCGCGGTCATCGGCTCAAACCTGGACATGTCAGAAGCTAACTGCAAACTAATGGAGCTTAACCTGGAGATCAGAGAGTCTCTCCGCACGGTACAGTCCTACCCGCTCCTAGCACAGGCCAAACCCGTTGGAAATATGGCGAGCACTGGATTCTGAGCAACTCCCGACCCTCAAGAGGGAGTAAGCTGAAGATGATGAAGACTTTTGGCCAAGCACCTTTGATGAACCCTGTGCTTCACTGAGAACTTTGGGGTCAGCACTTTTAATTTGTAGTCTACTAATAACTTCAAACTGTCAAAAAAAAAAAAAAACCCCTGAAGAAAAATATCTAACCACTTAACTGCTGCCTAGACCTTCACAGCAACTGTATGAAGAAGGAATTTATTATTATTAACCTATGTGAATAAGGGCTAAAAGCGATGCGTACAAGCTACATTACTCTGGAGAAAAAGAAATTCCGCGGATGTTTGCAATAATGGCCTCCAAAACATTGCAGGGCAGGTGAAGGGAGGCTGGGATGGGACCAATTCCTTTTAGCTGAAGACCTTCACCTGCAGAGCCGCTTGGATTTCTAGCCATCATCAACATAAATGTAAAGTTGACACTTGAAAATCAACTTTACCACCCAGTCAGATAACACAAACTTATTTGCAAAAACCACTGGGTCTGGGGTTTTGTTTGTTTTTTCCAACTTACGGGATAAGGGTTCGGGATGTTTGGGTGTTTTGTGGTTTTTTTTTTTTTTTTTTTTTTTTGTCTGTATAAGGAATTATGTGTGTGTGAGTTGGGGTGTGTGCGCGTGTGACAGTCCTATTTTCAAGGCGTGGATGTCTGGTGACAGCCTCTCGGAGCATGCCTAAAGGAACACTGCAAGATTATTTTTGAAGAAATTTTATTTTATTAGATCTAACTCTTCATAGTGTGTAAATGTTAGAACACTTTAATAATATTTTAAAACTGGGTTTCCCCCCAGTGTCTCATAAAAAAAAATAATATATCTGTTAACGTTATTGGACTCTGCTGCTCAGCTCTCTGATCAGTGCTTGTGTTGATATTGTTGATAACTAACCAAAGCAGATGCCTGCAGAGACTTTAAATTGTAAAATAAAGATGTCCGCTGCCCGCCAGCACCTCTCATTACAGAAGTTAACTTATTTCACTCGGTAACTATTATAGACACCGCCTAGACTAAAACCTGTACTTTCTTGTACATCTGTGCCACGCACTGTTACATCAGAGAACATGTACAAAGCTAAAGGAAAAGTTGTGGTCACTGATGGTGGACTGTGTGTTCTGCAGGCTCTGAAGGCTGCAGACGTTCAAGAGAAGAGATGCAAATGACTTGTGTGTTTATGCGGGACTCAAGCTTGTTTCAGGCTAAAGGAACCTTGGGGCTACAGGGGGAAGAGACAGGAAGCCTGAAGACCGAGTCCCAAAACACACAATATACTTCTCCACTGTCTAAGTCTGTAGCTTAACACAAACTGGATCCTGTCCCTTTGCTTTTTTTTAAAATAGAATTTTGTAAAGGAAATGAATGTAGCCCCCCCGACTCCTCTGATTTGAAAGGAACACCTTGTATTTTTATATGCATCTCTTTTCCACTGTGACTTTTATTTTCAAAAACTGGGCTCTGTGGCTCCAGAGTTTGGAATGTAGAAATGAATTGCTTAGCTTTGCCTTTTCCTGGGGGCGTGGCCCCTGACAGAAATGTAATTATGATCAAGTGCATTATTCGAGGTCACTGTGCACGCCGTTGGACTGCTGACCGTAGTTATGTTTCTGTAAAACTCTATAACTGGTCACAGCACATTCATAATCACTGTATTTTTTGACCCAGATAAAAAAAATTATTTTAATGGTGTTCTGGTACTGTAAATGGTGTCCTTAAATTATTAATAACTCTTGGGCTGGGGGGGAGGTGCTAGGCACAGGGATGGTGTCCGGAGACACACCACACTTCACATCCCCTCTCCCCTTTTTCTCACCCTCCTTACATCCTTTTTGTTAAAAATAAAAAAGCATTGTAGCTGTTGGTTTGTGTGGTATTTTATGAAGAAAACAAAAAAAAAATAAAGATGACTACCTGTATAGTTACCTGTATAGTTCTCACGTATAATTTCACTTTTAAAAAGGCAGGGAAAAAGTTAAATTGACTACCCAAAGGTTGTAACTAATTTGGTACTGATGTGGGGGTGGGGGGATACATCTGCAGAAAAACAAAACCAGATCCATTGGGACGATCCTTCTCACACCTACACTGACGAAACTGTTAGTGCTTAATTCTAACCCACTTCTTTCACTCTGCAAGAACCTAGTGTTTGCTACATACAGCCCTCTTCACTGAACTTACCATTTTAAGTAAGAAAGAATTTATCATTTTAAATAGTTAGGGACTTGAGAGATTGGGCAGTTCCCCTGGTGCTGCTCTTTGGGAAGGCAGAATACAATCTCAGGGTTTGGAACTATGTCCAGGTTCAGTGACTCCAAGGTTAGGGCTGTTAGCCACTGCCTACCTTGGTTTGAAGTGTGTCTAAGGGACGTTTTAGGGAAGAGCAGTGCCAGAACACAGTGGTGAACTGCTCTGTCAGAGAAACATCACCTACACGTCAGGAAAAAGAGCCAATGGTTTCTGAATGGCTTTTCTTTTCCCTAGTTTTTTAAAGTGGTCCACAGTTACTTTGAAGAGTATAAGAATTACGTAAAACACAATTCTCTCGGCATGCTGAGGTGGCATTTGGTGTCTCCTGCCAGCCTTTCAATGTGCTCGTCTGATGCTCTAAGCTTTGTATCCCACATATAAACAGTGTGACAGGCCTCAGCGTTAGAATGTAGGCATCAAAGGCGGAAACTTTTTGAGTCACTTTCTTCAGATCTGCATTCAGTTCTGGCATTCTGATCCTTGCCAAATAATGTTAGCTGCCCTGGGAAAATTAAGTCGACAAATGATTTCACTACCCACTTTAGCAGCCAGTGGAGTTGTCTTGGGACTCTTTGTGGGTAGTCTGGTTCATCTACTTGGCAAGTACTTACTAAGTACATAGTATGTATATCATGTCCCACCCAGGACAGGAGTCAACTGGATTACCTCTGCCTGGACCTAGTCTCAACTAAGTAAGAGCTAGCCCATGAGAATAAGTGAAGCCCATCATTTTTAAGCACACAGGTTTTGCTTTTTGGTTTTTCGAGACAGGGTTTCTCTATATAGCCCTGGCTGTCCTGGAACTCACCGTGTAGACCAGGCTGGCCTCAAATTCAGAAATCTGCCTGCCTCTGCCTCCCAAGTGCTGAGATTAAAGGCATGTTCCACCACCGCCTAGCAAGCACACGGTTCTTAATGCTCACTTCTGGCCACCACCACTTTAGTCCCTAAAACTCTCACCTGTCTACAGGCACCCAGACTGCTTTCCTTTAAAAGACAATCTATCCTCATGGTTCACTTCCCACAGCATACCTTTAACATGTTTTGGTGGGGGCTTAAGAGATGACTCAGCAGTTAACTACAAGGGCAGTAAACATGCCTTTGTAGAGGACCTGGGGTTCAGTTCCCAGCACCCACAGGGTGACTTTCAACTGCCACTCCCATTCCGGGGTATCCAGTGCCCTCTTCTTGCTTCCTTGGGAGCCAGACATGCATGCAGTACACATAACATGCAGGCAAAAACACATGCATAAAATTAAAATGAAAAGATAAGACCCCTTTAGTGCCTTCTCATGGGTAACTACGTAATGACCAGTCCCAGGCAGGGACTGAACAATTTCCCAGTCTGATCTTACTAGTTTTACCTACTGTCATCATAAACTCAGTATTATTTGGCCTCTCTGGTTTTCTCTACCAGAAGAGCTTTGCACATGTTGCCCCAACACGAAACGGGTCTTTCTATCAAACTCAACTGACTCAAATTCCAGCTCAGTTGATCTAAGTGGGGCAGTGCTTTATGGAGGCCTTTAAGCGAAGAAGAGCTTCTGCATCATATCAGAACTTTGTCTTGTTTGACTATTTGCTGAGCATCAGGGTACTTGTTAGACACGCCCACTAAGAGATTAAAAGGCTGGTAGCACTCCACACACACATCAGCTTAATTCACCTGGGCCCAGGTGGACCTGTCCCCTCCTCACAAGGACACTAGAGTCCCCAAGCCCACTTTGGATGTTCAGCACATTTCCTCAAATACTTGCTAGTGCCCAAGATGCCAGACTGGCATCCACATTCTGGTAGACAGGTGTTGGACACTACTGTAACGAATGTTCAGGAAAACTGGAAAGGAACAGAGTTTTATCTGGTTCCTGCCATGATGCTTGTGTTAGACCAACAACCAACCCCCCTGCTTCATCAGAAGAACCTGAGGCTGTGCACCCAGCACCATCTGGCAGCGTGCTCTCCAGGTTCTCAAGGGGACATTGAAATTAGGACTAATTTAAATTTCAAAAACATGGCACAACTTAATGTGTGCTGGGCCTTTTTAAATAACATCTTTCTTAGGAACTTTAGACCCCCAGACTGAAGCTGAAAGTTACTTGTCCATGAAACCTTAGACTTGAATGAAGTGCCTGTAACTTCCCTAAGTCAGCCTGGTCCACAACAACACATGTTAACAAAGCTACCAATTTTCAGCACATATTCTCCTCAGACTGACACATGAATTGGATAAAGCCTCAAACTGTTTGCAATACCTTTTATTCACAGGCTTTATAGCAAAGTACACTGCCTTTCATGAAGTATTTTGAAAAGGGAGAGGGGGAGAGGGGAAGGGGCACGGGAGAAAGCTCACTTGACCGATCCATTTGCCCCATCGTGCAGAAACCCGCTTTTTTTTCCCGACTTTCACTAAATGATGTATTTGAAACTGAAGGTGCTGTCGCAGGACAGGCGTTTGTCCTTGCATCTCCCACACAAGTCTTGGCGATGGGGACGTTTAGGGTCCACGTGGCGAAGTCTGACTGGGCAGGCGCATCTAGTTCTTTTACAACTCTGAAAAATCAGAGTGAAAAAGTACAAATAATGAAGCCCCTCCCCTCCTTGATTCTTAGAGCCTCCGAGCAGACAGAGCAAGTGGCACATGTGCTGGGCACAGAGCACCAAGTGCAGAGAGTCTAAGGCACCTTTTCTAAATGGAATCTTAGTGACTTTCCATTCTTGGCTTCTTGGGGCCCACCCTAAGGTAGTTAATTCTCCAATTACCAACTTTAAGTGCACTGGACTCTCAAATAGACGTGGAAGTTCTTTAGCTCTGTGATTAACCTTAACAGGTAAATGTTGTCACTTCTTTCTTTTTAAAGGTTATCTAAGTCCCTTGGCACAGTGCTAAATTACTAGTAAGCAAAGGCTTAGCAGCCATAGTTATGGGTAAACCTCATAGAGCTATACAGACAGAGTAGAGTGGGCTTACAGAGAACTCCCTTTGTAAACTCAAGCAAAGCTGGAGCTCAATGTCTTGGGTTTCCTACCCTAACTTGGAAATGTGTTTTCTATGTGGCATGAGGGTAATAGTCTACCACCTCAAGCTAGCAGAAAGGTACTCTGTTTTGCAATATGTTTTCCCTTACACCAAGTGGAAGTGGCAGGTAAGCAAGCCTTCTGTTCTTCTAAGGAAGTAACAGATCCAAAAGAGGCCATGCAAGCAAGTTTTGCAAGAGCAGAAAGGAGTAAACACCCCCATTTCACAGTGGAAGGGGGGACTTTCTACCACCCCTAGCCAAAAACAGAAAGAAAGAAAGAAAGAAAGAAAGAAAGAAAGAAAGAAAGAAAGAAAGAAAGAAAGAAAGAAAGAAGGGAAGAGAAAGTAGAGCCCAAGGCTACTGGGAACCTACACCTCTTTCAAGAAATATATTCAAAGTAGTGCACCAAAACCCTCTTCCAAAAGGCAAACGTTTGATTTACTTGACAGGTGATATCCTCCACTCGGTAAGGGTTGTAGGATTTCTGACACACTCGGCAGAACTGTTTGAAGTACACCTGCGATGAGAAAGAGCATCCTCGTAAGCAGACACCGGGCAGCACGGCAGGGGCAGGGCAGCTGCACGGTGTCTCTTACCTTGCTGGTGCCCTGCACACACCACACATAGGCGCTCTCCCAGCGGATATTGCAGTCCTTGCAGTGATAGTAACCATACTTCTGCTCTAAGAACTGAACAGCAGGATACCAGACTTTAAGCAAGTGATGCCCGAGTTACCCTCATTTCAGAACCTGGGACCAAATATTCTACTTGATACTTTAAAAATCACCATGGTAGGGAGTAAGGTTAGATTTGGGTCAACCTCTAAATTAATCAGGTGAACTAATAGCTCAATCAAACAAATATGTAAACTGAAGCCAAACACGATAGTTTGTATACCAGCAGACTGATAAAAGTGTTTTTCCCCTCAGACAAGGGAAAAGCCAAATAGTGCTATTTAGAGCTTGAGATTCCTCCCTGGGGCTTTTTATGTGGGGTGATGCATGATCTTAGGACATTCACAGATGAAAAAGTTATTATGCTGGAAGAGAAAAGTATTCTAATCCTTTGAAAGTCTTCAACCAATATTACATTCTCCGTGATGCTAGTTACGTTTCCAAAAGGTCCTGCTACCTAAGTATAGCTCATTTGGTGTGAACCCCGTAGTGTTAGCACCTGGTTCGTAAACTTCCCCAGCTGCTCACTTAGTGACCAACAAGTCAGAAACAAGTTTTTATAATTAAGCCTTTAGGACTGGCAGGGGCTTGGGAGAACTCTTACTGCAACTTGTGTAGGTGAACAGACACCACAGAGGCCAGAAAGCTTAAGATTTCTGCCTAAGATCACACCCAGCTGTGAACGGCAACCACCAACTGTTTTTCTGACACCCCATTCCACAGCCACCCCAACCCCCAAATACAATAGCCTTGAGATGACTAGAAAAATAAGAAATTTCTCAGAACCCTTTCCTAGAGCTCATGTCTTTGCATTTCTTTGGGGGCTGGGGGAATGGTTAAAGCCGCACTCCTTGTGCCCCGCCCCAACCCCAGGTTTTGTTTGTCTAGCCTAGGCAGCAACTCAAGACCATTCAACAGCTGGCCAGCCGTCTAGATGAATGGGGAGGGTTTATTTAAAAAAAAATTACAACAAACAAACAAACAAACAAAGCCAGGCAAGTTTGGGAGGGAAAAGCTTCAGTTAACAGCTTCAGAAATGGAGGAAGGGCCTGATAGAGAACCACCCAGCAAGTCAGCTGAGACAGATTATTCCCCACATCTAGAAGGGAAATGAAAAAAGGGGCCTTGGGAAACTGACTCTCCCCGCGACAAAGTTCACAAGATGATGTTTCTTCTATGTGTGTACTCAGTCTTCCATCACCCGTCTGAAGTATGGTACAAACTGGACTGTGTGTGTTCACCGCAGAGACCTCATTTGCTAAGTGTTCATGTGATCAGAATCAAATAATTACACTGCCATTTCCCAGGAAGAGATCAGGGGTCGGGCCACGTGTGGGTTGGTCTTACTGTGTAAATACCTCCCATTGTACTAACGGGCAGCGGCTGCAAAATCCTATGTGCAGAAGAGCTGGCTCAGCTGTTAACACCCTGTTCTTCTAGAGGACCCTAATTCAGTTCCTAAAACCCGCATGGTGGCTCACAACCATCTGTAAACCGCCAGTCCCAAGGGATCCGACGCCCTCTTCTGTCCCCATCTCTCCACTACAATAAAGTGTACAGACACTACATGCAATCAACACCCATACGCGTTAAAACAAACAAACAGACTGACTGATAGCACTGAATTCTATGCCCTGAATCACCCAGAGCCACCAGCTTAGCCCTGAAGGAGCCCTACAATTCTGGAGGCGTCCAGGCCACCAGGCTGGCCTCACCTGGAAACGCAGGCGCTCCTTGTCCTGCTCGGTGCTCTGCGGGGAGGCCCGGACTCCAGGGGAAGCCGAGTCACCGAGATCCTGAGCCATCTCTGTGGCAGGACATGGCTCTTCACTCCCAGGCTCAGACTGCATCGCCGCCACACTGTCCGGGTCCTCCCGCGGTGACTGCTCCCACCCTGCCGGCCCTTCAGCCTGGATGTCGCTCTCCTCACTTCGATGCTGGGGGACCGCTTTCATCACCGCCACCTCTCCCGGCTCCGGCTCCCGGGTCCCCGCGGGTGCCGCGCTCCCCTCTCCCTTCCTGGACGTCTGCCCGCAGCCCGCAACCTCCAGCGAGGAGGAGAGGCCACAGAAGGTCACGGGCGAGTACAGGGCGACGCTGCGCCAGGATCGCGGGGGTCTCCGGGCGCCGGCGGGGCTCAGAGGTTGGCAGGACCCCGGCCGGGCGTCGGGGCTGGCTCGGCGCCGTGCAGGCTGCAGTGTGCGGCGCCCGAGCGAACACTGCACCGAGGCGTCGCGACGCGGGGTCACCTGCACCGCAGCGTCGCGGCTGCTGACCGGCCGGGGACCCATCCGCGACAGCAGAGCCATGAACTGCGCTCGCTGGTAGCTGTCGAAGTACTCTGCGGCCATGAGCTGTCTGTAGCCGGGGAGGAAGGAGGGGGGTGCGGGCTGGCAGCCCCTGGCTCCGAACCTCCAGCCATCCCCGGCTTTGGCGGCCGGCGGGTAAGGATGTGGGCAGGGGTGGGGCATGCTCGCCGGGAACATGGGTGCGTCCCGCGCCTCGCCCGCCCAGGCAGCCATCAGCGCGGCCCAGCTGCCCTCCACGCCGCGTTAAATAGGCGGCCGCGCACCGGTAGAAAAAGCCCTACCACCGTCTAACCACGCGGAGTGAAACCCTCTCCATCCTCTCCCTACACTGATTAAGAGGCGACCCTCCTCCCCCTGTAGATGCAGAGAGAAAGAGCTTTCCTTGTTAGTCACAGTAGCGATTTGTAGGGGAACCAGCCCTACAATTTGACCCGAGAATCATCACCCGGATTAGCCGAGCCAGGTGGGCCCCGTGCCTGGTCGTTCCAGATGTTTGCCATGAGGAAAGCAAGGGAGACTCGTGTGTCTGATTAGGGAGCAAAATACCAAGGTTAGGGGGCTGCTCTGAGCCTCTTACGTTGTTTTCTCAGATGACAGCTCCCTTCTTTCAGAGTAGTGGGACAGTGTCCACCCACAGCCCTTTCAGGAAGAAAGCCTTGTAGCTACAGCCCTTTCCCAGGGGTGAACAGAGGGGCCCATTTTCTCTCCTCTGAGGTGAGGTCTACACACATTTTCCTAAGTAAACCATTCCTTCAGACGATGAATGGATCTGAGATGCGTTTATACAAATACAGAAAACATATGGGGAAAAAATGCCTTCATCCCTGGACAATGTTGCCGGGCATTAACAACAGATCAAGTAGTCACATACATTAATATGATTTTTCTCTGGTTTGGGAATGGCTTGACAGTGAAACGCTATCTTGTTGTTTCACTGACCCGTTTTGGACTTTTCTCAATACAGACTAGCACTGAACAGAATCGGGTGTGTGTAAGTTGAGCAAACCCAATTTTACTCGTGTATGCACCAGACATCTACAGTTCCAACCCCATTTCCTATCTGTAGCGATGCTGGTGGAAATGGCAAAAGAAAAAACAAAAAAAAACAAAAAGCAAGAACCAAAAAACAAACAGCACACTACTTAAGCAGAGGAAGTGGCACTTTAGGGGTTCCAGGTGTAAGCGATACTGGGACACTGCTGAGTTATAAAAACACATGGTTAATTCTGAGATACAACATTACAGTGGGAAGAGCAAATCTGTTACAGGAAATGTCAACCCATCTTTATCCTGGATGTGAACCATATGCACTACCACGGTCACAGATAGGAAGTGATGTTTCAGCCCAATGGAGGCTCCTGTGTATCTCCTCGTTCAGAGGGAGGTCTGGGCGGTTTCTATCATCACTAAGTCATCTGTCCCCACCGTGCCATAGGAGGTGTCTGCCATTTCCTCTTCTTTCAGTTTCTTATAAGAAATATCTGTGTCTTCATCTTCGTCTAGGGCCTCTCTCTTGTGCAGTATCTCACTTCCGTACATTTTGTATATTAAAACAAAGACCCCTGCTTCCGCAGACTGGAAAAGGGCATAAAGCAAAGGAAACATGTACATACTGCCTATGAAGCGCGGCGGGAAGGCCAGTTTGAGAATCGCAGTACAGAGCTGCACATTCTGACTTCCTGTTTCCAGACACACAGTCCTCTTGCAGTTGGGCGGAAGATGGAAGAGAGTAGCTAAGCCATAACCCGAGGCATAGCCTGCCAGAGGCATGAAAATGGCCACCACATAAACAGTTGCAGGAATGCTTGCCAGCAGTTCGGGTCCCAACATGGTGCCGGTCAGTATGAAAAGAACCACCAGAGTCACGAGCAGAGACCACAGGGAAACCTGGTAAGAAAATAGATAGGCAACCTATCAGCAACCACATCACAGCGGAGGAATCTGGGCAAGCTGCACACCCATTCTAACCTCTCACTTATAACAGAGGTAATTGCCAGACTATACCCAAAGCCTGAAGCTCTTAGACATAACTGCTTGGCGGCCTAGCCTGGTATCCAGTGGCATCTCTGGGCTCTAGCACTTGCCTTAAATGGAAGAACATAAAAAGTCTATTCCTTCTGAAAAAGTTCTCGAAACAATAAACCAGAGATCAAGGCAGACTGTCCCTCAGCCTCTTGGCCTTGGTCATACAACATTTAGTACTCTTCATGTGTGTCTAATTTACTGCCACTCGTCTTTCGAATGGAGCAGCTAGAATTCAGCCCAAGAACCCAGTTACGGTCTGAGGACTAGCCTGGATAAAGTAGTCTTTACCTCTCCTGAACCCCGTGCTTTCGACATGATATTAGTTCTCACTTCACACCAGACAGAAAAGGCTGCTAGCGTTTACGATGAAAATTAACTTAGTCTAGGATATTTTTAACCTTCAAAGTACAGTTCCAAAGATGGCTAACAGTATGGAAACAATTATCAGCTCCATTAGATTAGAGAAAAGTGTAAATGTGAGATATGATGAGTTCTTTGTAAGTCTGCAACTCTGCACTTTGATTCGTCCCTGAAAAAAAAAAAATCTCCAGACTATAAGTTTCTCGAGATGGTGAGGTAGTTTCAGGTATGCTGCTACTGACTGGGTCAAATGCGCACTGTTGGCGATCTGTCTGGTACATTTCTCTCATTCAAGGGAAAGAGGATGCACAACCTGGAGGAAGAGATCTAAATTCCTCCAGTCCCTTTAGATACATAGTTAATTTGCTCTTTTCCCATGGGGTGTGAGTGCAACAGCGATCCAAGATCCTGAAGAGTAATTCTGCCTCTCTGAGGGAGTGGACCAGAGAGGAAGTCTCTGGAGACTTCTGGAGTCTCTGGGATTGACCTGCACCTATGGATCTTTTAAAAATTAAAATGTATGTTGGCGGGTCAAAAATTCTATTCTAGCAGATACTGAGCTAGCTTCCTAAGGTGTATAAAAACACAAGCACACTGGCAAAGAACTACCACAAAGCAATACTTTTATTAATTTCCAAAGTATCATTTTTAAGGCACTGACAGGAAATCCAATTCTTCATTCTGAGGATGCTAGCTACAAAGTTCCTTTAAGCCATTTAAGAGTTTAAAAAAGGAGAAGAAAGAAAAGAAAGATGAAAATGTTGGCGTTGAGATCAAATGCTCACGTTCAGTGCTTGCAAAGCATAGCTGAATGGCTGCGCGTAAATGCATCTTAAGACCATCCATGGGGATGGTACGGTAGAAGTATGTGTTTATTAAACCCTATATCGACTATTGTATAGGACTTCTTCCACTTAGAGCTAAATCTGTGTGCAGAATTGAACCCTCTATTTCTCTTACTAGGGAAAGCTGGCTCCTCTGTCTAAGTAGAAAATAAGTTAATAAAAGTAAAACAATAACAACAACAACAAAAGATTCTGTATTTTAAAGTCTCCATAATTGTAACATTGAAATGACTCTTCTTTTGTAACCCAAGGAAACTTGTCTTTGCACTTTAGTAAACTATGCATTTTAGTTATCTTACTTCCTGAAATGAACATTCTGTTTGTTTTCACTGTTTCGATTTTTCAAAAGAAATGAAATTAATATTCTCTGGCCAACTATTAGAAAGTATGTGTTGCTAGACTGTGTTTTAAAAATAAATCAATGTCAGAAATATTTTATTTGTTTTTTATTTATATATTTTACTCTATTTGCATTGGTGTTTTCCCTGCATGTGTGTCTGTGTGAAGGTGTTGGATCCCCTAGAACTGGAATTACAGGCAGCTGTGAGCTGACATGTGGGTGTTGGGAATTGAACCTGGGTCCTCTCAAAGAGCAGTCAGTACTCCTAACCACTAAACTATTTCTCCAGCCCCCTAAAAATTTTTCTAATAATAGTAATCCCTCATCATTTCATTAACTTAAAACAAAACATATAAAATAATGCAACAAGGAAGAAAAAAGATCCACAGGTTTAGAAATGACCACATAATTTACTCTATCCAGGACCTGGTTTTATTTTGTGCTTTAAGGCCAACATTCTATGTGTTCTATTATATTGAGAACATTATCTTGGTAATTTGAATTTTTGATTAAGCTACTTAAGGGTACCTAGTTCAGGTTTTGTTTCCTCAGAATTGGAGTTCCACTCTTGAAAACATACTAATGCATTATGAAAAAAATTTTTTTTTGGTGTTTTTGTGTAGCCCTGGCTGTCCTGGAACTCACTCTGTAGACCAGGCTGGCCTCGAACTCAGAAATCCACCTGCCTCTGCCTCCCAAGTGCTGGGATTAAAGGCATGTGCCACCACTGCCTGGCTAAAATGTTTTGAATAATTTTATTTAATCTGCTCTGAATTGTAGTACTATTCAGTTTGTGGGAATTGCTTGCCATTTTGTGGTTTAGTTTGTTTGTTCTGAGACATAGTCTCACTATGTAGCCCCTGTCCTAGAATTCACTATGCAGACCTGATGATGGGCCCTGGACTCAGTGATTTGCCTGCTTCTGCCTCCTAAGTGCTTAGATTACAGGCACATGGCACTATACCCTGCAAATGTTTGCCATTTGACCACACTGTGCCCCCATGAGTGATTACTAATTGTTAATTTTCAGAGGCCTTACCACCTACCAGGTAGGAGTTGAGACAGGGTTTTGCTTTGTAGTCCAGGCTGGTTTCAAACTTCAGACCCTCCTGGCTCAGCCCCTGAGCACCGGAATTACAACCTGCATCTTTACTCCCGATTTGAGCTGTGACTTAATTAGAGATATTCTCCTAGGAATTTCCCACTTCAGACATTAGGCTTGGCGTATACACTTAAGTATGTCCCTGAAAGTCCTTTGTTTCCTTCTCTGCTTTCCAAACCTCGTGGCATGTCTGCCACTCTTCAGAAACCAGACTCTAGGAAGAGAAGAGAGAGCCTGCCTACCTTCACAATGTAGTCAGCCACCCGGTTGTATTTGTAGCGAATGAAGACGCCCAGCCCAATAGGGATTAGAGTACTGCAGAGAGTCAGGGTGACTGCCCCTAGGGGGAGCAATTGCACCAGAGGGGTATTGATCCAAGCCCGGCTGTAGATCCAAAGGCAGAGGGGCATCAACACCAGGGCCAGGAGTGTGGAGGAAATGGTCATGATGATGCTGCAGAAAGGTATGAGCAGAAGTCAGAAAGGGATCTGAGCCACGGCTTTCCTTACCTGTTACATAGCCTGGGAAGGGAGGTGGCGGCTCTGCAGAGAATCTATTTTATCCTGTCTCAATAGAAACATGAATCCCAAGCAAGACAATGACCTAGGACGCGGGACCCAGGACAGCTGCCCCGGGCGTCCTGAAGCCTGGAAATTAGATAACTGTGAGGACAAGAAGGAACCCTTTTCTTTTAACCCTACAAACAGCCTGCAGCGCGGAAGCTGGCGATGCTACTTGTTGGCTTAAACTCGATTGTGTTACACTCTCGAGATTACTTTCCTTATGTGACTACAGTCCTGATTTGCTTTTTTGCATTTCCTTCGAGTCCTAGCTTCCGACTTCTCCCTTCTTTTTGCCTTCCAGTTACTGGAGACGTGCGCTAGGATCCTGTCCCTCCGGGAAGAGCTGTGTATGAAATCCTAGGGCTTTTAAACGGCTAGGTCCAGGTCTAGATCTTCTCACATTGACACACAGTCTTTAACCGTCCGCTAGGATTTCAAAGCCAAGCATCCATATCCCCACCCCCACCCCATCCATCCCTCCTCGGGGCTTCATCCCAAACAGCTCCAACACACCCTACTTGCTGTGCATTCTATGGTTGGGGTGAGAGAAGGCCATACCTGAGGTTCATGTCGCCATCCACCAACAGGGACATGAGATTGGAGAGATTTCCACCGGGACAGCAGCCACACAGGAGAACGGCCACGGCGGCCACCTCATCCAGCTTGAAGGCGAGGGCCAGCAAGAAGGCTAAGAGCGGCAAGAAGCCGAACTGGCAGAGCGCAGCCAGCAGAGCGCCCACGGGCCGCCGGACGTGCGCCCCGAAGTGGTTCACGTCCACGGTACAGCCCAGGCCCAGCATGGTGATGCACAAGGCGGCGCCCACAAACACGTTCAGCCCGTGGTTGAGCGGCGTGTCCCAGAATGGGGGCTCGTGGGGGATCCAGGGCCGGGGGAAGGCAGAGGAACCCTGGCCTGCCACGCCGCCCGCGAGGCTGCTGCTCGTGGGCTCTGGAGTCGGGGTCGACTCCGGGCTGAAGCCGATGCTCGGACTCGGAGCGAGGCTGAACCCGGGACAGGGACTGGAGGTGACGGTGAGAGGCGAGAAGGTGCTGGCGTTCGGGCTGCTGGCGTTGGGCGACAGGGTGATGTTGTCAGGCAGCAACGAGGACGGGGCAAGGAGCAGGGTGGTGTTGTCCAGGCCGTCCATGGCGCTGTCACCGAGGCGCAGTCTGCAGGGGGCTGTCCCCAGCCGCACCTCCTCCCTCTGTCCTAATGTCCCTTCTACCTGTCTGGTCAAGCGTCCCCGCGGCGTCGGTGCGGCGGGCCGGTCGTCGCTCCCGTGTGCATGCTGCCTGGCAGCTGGCACTGAGCGCTGCGCAGCCCTGTCGCCGCCCGCCTGCACCACTGGCCCCGCCCTGCCGTCCCTGTCCCCTCCTTTTAATCACAGCTAAGTGGTTCTGTACCAGTGCAGCCAGGGGCGGAACAAAGACCCGACAAAGCCCAAGAGGGCGGAGAAGACCAGGCCTGGCTGCCCATCAAATTCTCTGATGGCCCTGCCTCTTTTTTCTTTCTAAAATATTTTTTTCTAACTCAGATGTTAAATTTGAACATAAAGTCCCATGTGAGGTTTGGATATATGTATAAGCTTGTCAAGTCATACTGAACGTAACTCCTTCAACATTTATCTTTTTTTTTTTTTTAATGATGAAAACATTTCCAATGCTTTCCCCTAGCTTCTCCAAATACGCAGTACACAATTATCTCTGGTCGCTCTGCCCAGCAGCTGCACGCCAGAACCCGGCCTCTTTGGTAATGAAATTTAGAGGGCCAGACTCATCAAATGGAGAAAAAGAATCTTATGCATGTATATATAAGTCAGATACATAAATAGTTTAAATAGCCCGCAGCCCTACCCATAGAGGCATCAGGCTTCGTGTGAGCCAGTCTGGAAGCAGTACGTGTCTCTGGCTTGAATTTGCAAGCAAAAGTGTTCATCTTTTTATGTTCAGTTTAAGAGTAAAAAACAATCATGGGGTTTTTGTTTTTGTTTTGTTTTTGTTTTTTTTTTGTTTTTTTGTTTTTTTGTTTTTTGTTATTTGTTTTGTTTTGTTTTGTTTTGTTTTGTTTTGTTTTTTTGAGCCTGACGCTGTTTCAGAGCCAGGGCAAACCCATAGGCTCGATACTACGTCTACAAATTCCATGTATTTTTTAATTGATACTTTGCAATTGTCATATCTATTGTGTACCGAATAACATTTTAATCACATACACAATGCTAACGATCGCATGAGAGCCATCGGCACACATTTGCAACGTCTCTGGTTAGGAACCTTGAATTCTCCCAATCCCTATAGAGAAAATATTCAATTACTTGATGCCAGCCAGTTATCCTTCTGTGTCATACCTGATTCTTACAGTCAGAAGCAGGACACCTCCACTTCCCCTACCAAGCTCATAAGAACCTGGCTCAATCTCTACCTTGTCATGAAGCTGGGCTGAGAAAAGTCTCCATAAAAAAAATGGATGTTAAGGGTGTTATGGTCAGCTTCCATTGCAAATGCCCATTCTAACTAACTAGGTAGTATAGACTTTGGGTCTGGTTTGTTTTAATGTATGGATTTGTATTTATTTGAAAGATTGTATATATATATATATATATATATATATATATATATATATATAAAAGTTTGTAACATTTTTTAAACATTTAAAGAAGTCAGTGGCAGGCAGTGAGAAGACCTTTCTGTGAGCACAGATTTATGAAGTGTTGTGATAAAGTCTCAGCACTGGGATCAGAGGACTGAACAGAAACGAAGCATAGAGATGCCTGCCCACAGACAGACTAATCCCCACACAAATCACCTCAGAGTTTATGGGAACAGAGCCTCAGCAGTGTGAAGCCCATTACTCCATACATGTCAGAGGAGGTGTATGTGTAGATACACAGAGTGTATCTAAGGAGGTGTGACTGTCCCTGGGGTAATTCTAGCAATGACAGCCAGCTGACAGCCAGCATGGGAATGTCTGGCCTACAGTCAGGGTCCAGGCTGTTCTTACTGAACAAAACCAAGACAGAGTTGAATTCTCCCCCAACCTCAAGAAATGATTCCTATCCCCTTCCCAGAGTGACAGGGTGCCCTCCATTGCCCAGTGATACCGTGAGCCCCTGTCTTTGCTTTTCTTCCTCTCCAGGTCTCATGGAAATGGCAAAGGATATGAAAAATAAGTCTAAGATCCTATGGTACGTGCACTGAAGCACAGACGACCCTCTGCTTCTCCGTTGCAGGATTGATTCAAGGAGGTGAGAACTTCAGCAAACATTTAGGAACACGCTATGTCCTAATGTACTAAACTCAAAAAGATACATTCACATATGTAAAGCTGTGAAGAACATGAGCTGTAATGGGAAATACTCAAAGTTTTAAAGACCTATGAGGTTAAAAGACAGATGTCTAACAAGACGTGCTTTTCGAGAGTTGAGTACATCCTGGCAGTGCCATTTTATCACAAGAACAGGGCGGCCCTACCTCCCAAGCCCAGCTGTAGTTGAAGTCTTGATGTCCCCCAAAAGCCTAAATGCTAAAGGCTCAGTCCTAATCCGGAACTATTTTGAAGTCCTGGAACCGCTAAGGGGTAGGGCCTATCGGAAGCTCTTTCCATCACTGAGAGAGTGCTTGCAAAGAGAACTGTGAGATCGGCCCCTGCTCACTCTGTTTTGATTCTGGGCTATGATATGAGACACACAGCTTGACCGCTGTGTGTTTCCACCACAGTGAGCACCTCATCAGATGTCCCAACACAATAAATACAGTTAAGCAGTCATGGACTGATTGCTTAGTCCTAAAACCTCCAAAACCATGAAACAAAACGAACCTCTTCTCTTTGTAAGTTGATTATCTCAGGTGTTTCGTTATAGTGATAGAAAGGTCACTAACAGAGGTGTTTTATATTCTTAAGCCCTGGGCTTAAGAGGAGCTAAGAACACACATGGGAGAGGATGCAGCTGAGGCTCCAAGCCTGTTTGCTTTAGAATGGCTCCTCCTCATTTTAAAGATATTAAAACCCACAAATCAAATAAGCAGCCATTACAGGCAGACTAACCAGCTCTTCTCAGGGCTTGGGGAGAAATCTGGGAGGCAATTTGTACAATGGGTGAAGAATGGAAACAGAAAGTGCCGGATAGAACTGAGAAAGCCCAGGATCCTGCTCAACCTACACCTGTGGGGGCTGCGTGACCCCCGCGCATCTGTGGTCCTTCCTCCTGCAGTGGTTGCTGCTAGTGTAAAGGGAAACAGTGCTCTTGCCCGTTCTGTTCTTCCTGACCTCTCACTGTTGAGGGGAAACCTTCAGGATTGGGGACAGAGCTGAGTCTTTTGGTATGGTATCAGTGGTGAAATGGCTTAGGTCATTGTTGCCTTTCACAGCCACCGAGAAGGGTCTGGTCCAACCCAGGAGAAAGAACACTTACAGTGGAGAAATAATACACAGAACTTGGAAACCATATTATTTGGGGGCAAGACTTAGAGAGTCTTATCACAGCTTGTCCCAAAACTAATCCTAGGAAAGTTGATAATTAATACTAGTAATGACAACCACGAAACAAAATACAGACAAAATAACTGCAAAATTGTATCTGACTTTGAACAAGGAGCATTGTCTAAACCAGTGGTTGTTAACCTGTGGGTCTCGAGCCCTTAGAGGGTTGAATAACCATTTCTCAAGGATCGCCTGAGACCATTGGAAAACACAGATTTTTTTCTATTACAATTCATACCAGCAGCATAATTATAGTTATAAGGTAGCAATGAAAATAATTTTATGGTTAGGGGTCATCACAACCTAAGGAACTATATTAAAGGGTGCAGCATTAAAGGTCAAGAGCCCTCGTTCTAAACCAAGCAGTAGAGGTAAGAGGCTCTAACACTTGGTAGATATAGCTGTTTAAAAATTTTTAAATTTTGATATAATGAAAACATACTTTAAAAAAAATCAAAAGCAAATTATGAAACGAGAAAACCACTTTCAGCGTGTATAAAGCCAAGAGCTAATGTCAGTAATTTACAAGGCAGTTTTCCATATTATTAAGAACACAGTGCTGGCAACTGTCCGTAGTGGAATGCTTATTGTTCATGCTCAAGGTATGGATTCAATGACCAGCAATGGAAAAAAACTGAGAGTGCAGCAGGAAAAACATACACCTGCTAGGAATACACACAAGGCTGCAGGAAGGGGTGCAAACAGTGCCACTTACAGAAAACACTCACACGCACTTATAACCAAACAAATCAAACTATAGTAATCAGAGGACATTTTCTTAGCATTGGAAAAGATTCAAATGACTAGGATGATGTGTTTGAGTAGGGGTATGCTGCAACCAACTCCACAACCATCTGGTCAGGTTTTGTTTTCTAAATGAAAACTTGGCAGTAGACGACACCTGCTCTACAAATGTGTATCCCCTTTGACCTGGTGATTCTATCTCCAGGTGTTTATCTCCAGGAAACAATTGGGGAATGAAAACAAACGCTAACGCTATGTGTGCATCCAGAGTGCTCGGTGCACTCTCCGGAGCCTCTTACATGTGACTTCCTGAGGAGGTTGCAGCAACGTTCACAAATTGAGAGTGAGACACACACCTAACACACACTATGGGATGCCAATGCTCCCTTCTAAATGCACTGTCCTGTGAACTAAGAAGCAGTAAGCAGGATACTGTTCCGCAGACACTAAGTATCAAGCTTTGCAACTAGAGTTCCTTATTTGTAGTACCTGAGATCAAACCCAGTGCCTGACACATTGAACATATCAGCACGTGTTCTACCATGGAGAAACCACCCCACCTCCAGACAACCAGACTTCTTTATTTTTTTAATTTGCATTGTTTATTTTTCTTTATATGTGCACCAGGGTAAATTTTTGTGCTTTACATTCATGGAGGTGCCCTTGAAGGACAGAGGTGTCAGATCCCTTGGTCTGGAGTTATAAACAATTATGAGCCACCTGATATGGGTGCTGGGAACCAAACCCAGGTCCTATAAAAAAGCAGCAAGTGCTTTTAACCTCTGAGCCATCTCTCCAGGCCCATGAACAAACCTGGGACTCAACTAAAGTGCTGTGTGAACTTTTCTGTGTCTGAGCTTTTGTTTTGTTTTGTTTTGTTTTGTTTTGTTTTGTTTTGTTTTGTTTTGTTTTGTTTTGGGGGGAGTGGATCACTGAGTTTTCTGATTCCTAAGAGGGCCCAAGACACATTTAGAAGAATGATTAATGGATGAAGGAGGCTGGGCGGTGGTGGCGCACACCTTTAATCCCAGCACTTGGGAGGCAGAGGCAGGCGGATTTCTGAGTTCGAGGCCAGCCTGGT